GGATGGCTCAGCTTAAAAAAGAAAAGTAAAAAAGATAGAAAAAGACATATCATGCAAATGCCAATCATAAGAAAGCCAGAATGACTATTTGAAGATCAGGTAAGTGGACTTCAGGACAAGGAGTGTTATGAGAGATAAAGAAGGACAATTCTTGGGCTGGCCAAGAGGCTCAGCTGGTTAAGAGCTTGCTTGGGAGCACCAGCTCTGAGCAGCAGGGCTGCGGTTCGGATCCCACATTGAGGGCCAGTGACGCTCGCCCTCTACAGCTGAGATGATGAACAATAGCTCGACCTGGAGCTGGGCTGCTGTGAGTCGCCAGCGATGCCATAGGCTGCAGTGGGGCTGCAGTGGGCTGCCGTGAGCTACGTGAGTGGCTGGCAGCCAGCGTGAGCGGCTGGCAGCTGGTGGGAGCTGCCGGGAGCTGCTGTGAGCCGCCGACCAACGACCGGCGACTAATTGCCTCACCTGGGAAGAGCACAATGATAATACCAACATGGGCCAGTGAAGTGACGTTCTCCACAACTAGACTGAAGAACAAAAACAGCAATTTGTCTACCTGTCTGTTCCCCTTCCCTGATTCCCCAACGCTGTTCCCCCTCCCCCCAATTCCCCAATTAAAAAATCTTTTATAAAAAGGACAATTCTAATGATAAAAGGGTTAATTCATTAAGAAGAGATAATAAGCCTGAATGAGTATGATCCTAGTAACAAATTCAAACAAATTCAAAACAAATAAAGCAATGAAACTGACTGAACTGAGACGTTCTAAAGACAACAGTATCCACCCTTGAGAGTGCTCTTTTCTATTTTTGTGCTCCTCCTAGCAAGTAATTCCTGAGGCCAAGTATTGTGTATTTTTATTCTTATATCTTCCAAAATGTCTTGAATAGTGTTAGAAGGCAGATCTTTTCAAAGATGTGAAAATTTTTGGAGTGAAATTTGTGTATAAAGATTTAAAAAAAATATTCATGTTCTTTGACTCATTAATTCAAATCCTAGGACTCCAACCAAAAGAATCCATCCAAAAAACAAACAGACAGTTTTATGCTTAAAAAGGTCACTGCAATATTGCATGTAACAGTGAGAAAATTGGGAATAGCCTAAATGATCAACTAAAGGATTAGATGTATAAACACTGTGGTAACATTCAATGGACTATCGTGTGATTTGAGAAAATGCTTACAAGATGATGTTAAATTTTTTAAAAGGAGGACACAAAATTGAATACACTATATCAATTATATAAACAGATATGCACAGAGACAAATCTGGAAAGGAATAAAACAATGTTAACAGTGTTTGCTTTTAGGTGGGGAAGAGATCATGGGTTACTATAATTGCATTCTTTATACTTTTCTGTATTTTCCCCAATATTGGTTATCAAAATTGGTTTGATAATTATTGTAAAATCTAATAAACGTTGGGAAAAATAAAAAATATGAGTAAGCAAAATCTTACATATTAAATTTAACAGGCCTTCATATAAAGCTCTGAATTTTTGTTTTTTTAAAAATGCAGGGATGATGTGACTTAGCAGAAGCAAAATCAAGAATTTTTGTTTATCAACCCTAAATATTTTAAGTTAACTAAACAGTATAGAGGCTAAGAATAAATTCACATATTGGTTTCATTAGGAGAGGCATGGCAAGTAGAAAAAGGGAGGTGATAGGTCCTCTTTATTCTGTGTTACCCAGCCCAGAGTTGGAGTATTGATCCATGTGGGACCCCACAGTTTGAAAAGGATCCAGATATATTAGTGTGTGTCCAGCAGTGGTGACCAGATGAAGACAGACCTAGAAACTTAGGTGTGTGAAATAGCTGAAGGGCTGGAAGGAGTTGCTGAGGAGGAGAGGAGCAGATCAATGGAAAGTATGGTCAAAGTAGTCAGGCTTTTGAAGGGCTCAGGGCAGAGGAGTTGGTCATGTTCTGTGTGTGGCCCTAGACAGCAGAACTGGCACTACACAGGGAAGCTATAGAACGCATATTCAGCTCCATGTAAGGATAAACCTGTCCAAGGTGAAAAGTCTGCCTTATAAGAAATGACTTGTCCATGTCTATAGGTGTGCAAGCGACTCTGCATCAGAAACATGAAGGAAGAGAAAAACAGAAGGGAGAACAGGAGACTGAGACAGAAAACGAGATAAATAAAAAAGGGAGGCAGAGGCAGAAGAAAGGAAGAGAAAAGATGAACTATAGAAGAAGAAATATTTTTGAGAGTACACGGTGAGTTGCTACAAACACACTGGGATCTGATCTGCCTTTTCAGGTTTTCATTAGCAATATCTTGAAATACCAGCAGATGGAGATATTACCCCAAAAAAGGAGGACTCCGCTGCCTCATTCCTTAGTTTCAAAACATGTATCAAGTTTTCCTCTTCTGAAAAATGATGCTGAGACAACCCCAGAAGTCAATGCATTTCCAAACAAAATTTATAAACAAACATTTATGGTAAATTCTGCCTGTGATTACCCTGATTCGAATTTAGAAGAGGTCACTATAGCTTTTTGTTTTTTGGTCACTGACTGAGTAGGGTTCCATCTTGCCCCATCTCACTTAGGTATACATGTATTTATATGTATATGGTGTATATGTGTTTTGAATCATTATGAAATAACTAAACAACATAGTCCCCGTCTCAACCACCCTGCCATTAACACTTTCCTTCCCCAGATAGAATCTCTGTCACTTTGAATTGTTGCCTGTGGTAATTCTGGGAGTCTTTGCTCTAACTCCATATGTGGTGCTCTTCACTCTTCCACCCAGCTATAAACAGCCAAATTCTGAGGACTTCCGCAGACTTTGTCTGACTGGTAAAGAGGTACCTCAAAAGGGAAACAGTCTTGTACAGAGTGCTTCCCAAGCCTAAAGTGCACACAGATCACCTAGGGATCTTGTTAAAGTGCAGATTCTGAATCAGATGATTTGATAGGGCTGGAGATTCTGCTCTGCTAACAAGTTCCCAGGTGACGTTGATGCTGCTGGCTTGAGGACCACACTTTGAGTAGCAAGGTTATACACTATGTCCCTTTATCAGGAGGGGCCAGGACACTTCCCTCATGAACTACTATTGACTCCTTGTAGCCCCTTCTGTCTTCTTTGTCACCCCTTAACTTTGATTCCTGTTCACATTTTCATTCAACCAATCAACATATACAGAGAATCTACCATGTGTAAACCCAATGCAGGTTAATTTTAACCAACATTATTAGGCATCTTGAGCTCCAGTCCCTATGCTAAGCTTCTAGGATTAGTGATGATTCAGAAACCAGCTCGAGGGAGCTCCCACTGCCTAATCTGGGAAAGTTTGAACATAAAAACAAATGATAGTAGCATATTCTAATCTGTTGAATAAAGTAGGAACCCATAAGTTCATACTGCTATAAAGAAGTGAATAAATTAGAAGTGTGATGAACAGAATATGATTTATTTAGTCTCTAAGTACTTGCCCACAAAATACTTATTAATTACAAAGGGGAAAGAATAATATTACAGTAGTAAAGCCTGATTGATACCACTTTAATTAAGTGATCAAACAGTAATGGGACAAATTGAAATTGTGTGCCACCTGATAGGATACACTCAAAACAGCCTCATGTTTGTGATATTCCTGCCAACAATGCCTAACCTGAAACTAATCACGTGGAAACATTAGACAAACCGAGACTGAGCAACATTCTACAAAATCACTAGCCTGTAATCTTTTAAATTGTCAAATTAAGAAAGTCAAAGTAAGAGTGAGAAACTGTTCCAGGTTGAAGGAGACTAAAGAGCTATGACAAGTAAATGAAACGTGTGATTCTGGACAGGATTTTTTGCTATAAAAATATTATTAAGACAGTTGGTGAACTTAAATGGAGTATGATGATTATATGGTAGTAATGTACCAATATTAATTTCCTGATTTTGATGGCTGTATGTAGTTATTTAGGCAATGTTCCCATCTAAGGAAATGCTATAGTCTTCAGGGGTGATGAGGCATCAGGTTGACAACTTACTCTGAAAGGTTCAGGGCAAAAAAAGTTCTTTGCACTGTACTTGCAATGTTCTTGTAAGTTTGAGACTGGGAAAAGCATTACAAGTGCTCAAATAAGAGCTCAGGGTTAGGGTTATTCAAAGCATCCTAGGTGTGTGCCGGGAGGAGATGAATCTTAAAGGAGATTTGGAGAACAGAGATGAGTCAACCTGAGTTCTTACCCTACCTACAACAGTACCCCCCTTTGACTGGGCAAAAGGGGCCTCCTTCTGGGTCCATCCTTAGGGGCTGTGCTTTGGCCCTGCTGCTTTGACAACTTCCCATGTGGAGGGGAGGGTTGAATCTTCAGGGACAATGGGACATACCCATCAGATCCAGCTCCCCGCCTTCTAGTCCACCGGAGAATCAATCCCCTGTCCAAATGCTCTTGAGCCTGCTGAGTGTCTCACCCGGTCAATCCTCCCTGGGTTGATTGGACCACAGGTGTATGCACACCTAGGCCGGAGGAATGATCATGGCTAGAAGCTGTTTGCACCGTGTGTACGAAACTTGGACTTAAAGACTGGATGCCCAAGTGTGAATGGAGGCCCTAGAGTGCAACTGCTTTCTGCCAGCTGCCACATTTAGTTGGGGCTCAAGGAGGGCCTCTCAGAGAATTCTAAATTTGAAGTTGGTCTTTTAGGTCTTGGTAAGATATATTTGTCACCATAAGAGAGATAGATCATACTCTATCTAGACCGTGCTGAGCAGGAAGAAAATCCACATGGCTGTTAAGCAAAAGCACCAAGATTTTTAGGAGCTTGGGATCCTTGTCCTACACAACCCTTCATGCCCAGGCAGAGTGCTGGGCGAAACAGGCAGGTGGAGCGCCTCCGAGAGGCCGAGAATGGGGCGGGGCACGGTGTAGACCACGCCTCTTTGCGCGGAGAGGTGGGGCGAAGGCTGGGCGGCGATTGGTGCTCCTCAGCGTTCGGGGCGGGAGCGCGGAAGGGACCCTGCGGCTCTGCGCGAAGGGGCGGTGCCCGGAGAGGCCCCGCCTATTCCGGCCCTCTGTGCTGTCTCCGAGCGTGAGCACACACGCGGTAAGGCTGATACTGTCTTAACTCCTGGGCTTGGCGGCCAGAGAGGAGAGATGGCGGCGGAAGTGGTGTCGAGTGCGAAGTGGCTGTACTGTGGGGAGCCCGACGAGAGCCAGAGAGCTGTACTGGGTAAAGACCGCGGAGCTGGAGCAGAGTTCCTCATAACTTCCCCTTCCGTTTCTGTACCTTTTACAGTCCTCCCGCCCCCGTGCCGGACCCCTTTCCCAACCGGGCCAAGATCCCTGCCCCCCCTCCCCCGCGCAGTGACCACCACTACTTGGAACTCGGCTAGCGTTCCTCTGTCATCCCACCGTGTTTCTGTCACTACCTCCCGCCCGGATGAGGAGGACATCCCAGTCACTCCCACCCCAGGGCTGTACCCAGGATCCTGTCATCCTCCCATTCACCAGGTCTTAGACATGTTCCATTTCCTTCTCTCCCCTGGGCAGGGATTCCCTCCTCTCCAGGTCTGGATGAGGCCTCCTCAGTTGCCCCCATTCTCCTAGTTATTCCTTCCTGCCGCAGCCCCTTCCCTGCACTCCCCTCACCTCCCCATCCCCTCTTCCCAACTGGACCAGAACCTTCCTCAGTCCCACTCAAGGTCAGGACCTGGGCTTCCTTGCCATCGTTTTCCAGTCACTCCTCCCCACTGACAGTCCATTTCCTCCCCACCGTATATTGTGGGTCCTCCTGATCTCATTCCATTCTGGGACTGTGATCTTACAGTCCAGTTCTCCAATGGGAAGCTGCAGAATCCAGGCAACATGTGCTTTACCTTGTACAAGAACAATGACTCCACAAACCCCAGGAAGAGGAGTCAGCGGATCCTGGTAAGTGCTGCAGTGGCCGATCACCTCCACTCTGCAGGCCTCAGGAGACCCCTCGGGTGTGGTAGATGCGGGAGGGACTGAGAGCAGAAAAGGGGGAAATAGCAAATGAGCCTCTGAAGAACTCTTCTGAGCTCCAGCAGGTTGGGGTGTGGGGACAGGCTCCATTCACTTTCACACTTTGGGTGAAGTGATAGCCTTTCATTCATTTGTTCATTCAACAGCATTGATTGAGCATCCACCTGGCCCCACTCTTCAGGAGCTCGTATTCCAGAGCAGGGTTTCTCAACCTTGGCGCTATTGACATTTTGATCCAGATAATTTTTTTCTTGTGGGGGCAGCCCTGTGCATCACAAGATGTTTAGCAGCTTCCCTATCCTCTACTCATTAATACCAGTAGCGCCTCCTAGTTGTGACAACCAGAATATCAGACATTACCAAATGTCCCCACGAGTGGGAATTCCCTGGGTTGAGAACCACTGCTCTAGAAAGGTCTTTTGAGATTTTACCCAATCTCAAACTTACAGAAACATTGCAGGTACAGTGCAGAGAACTCTAGAGAAGTGAGAGCTGGATGTGAGGGACACTCATACAAGTAGACAAAGCTCAGGGCCTGAGGGAGGGAGAGTACAAGGCTGAGTGAGCTCAGTCGAACTCTCTGCTTGCTGGAATGTCTGTCTTCCTGGGAGGGCACAGGGAGCTGAGCTCTGAAGGATGGAGGACGGTTTGACAGCTGAGGTTTTAGTATTTCAAGTGAAGAGCATATTGACGACAAACAGCGGGAAGCAGGAAAGCTTGGCTGTGGTTGAGGAGTGAATCAGCCATTTCCATGGTCCTAAGAGCATACGAGTATAAGGAGCAGTCATGGAGAGGTGGGCAAAGAGGTTCAAGAAGGGCGTGGACTGTGGACCCAGGAAGTTGCCTGCAGAATCATTTTATTTAAGCCCTGTAAGTGTGGAGAGCCCAGGGCCTCTCTCCCAAGTTCTGTGGTGCAGTTCCCTCAAGAGCTTTTCAGACCAGCTAGAAGCCAGCACTATCTGGGGCTTCTCTTTCAAAAGTCCTCTTGCATTCCCCCCAGGGGGCACCCCAGATTCACTTAGAGATAGTGAGGCTGGATCATCTCCTAGAGGCTCTGTAGTTCTGATCCTTTGTGGCTTGGATTTTAAAGTTTTTTGCAAATGTGGAAAAGAGAGATAAGATGCTTAACACCTTTCAACATTGATTGTAATGGAGCTCCCCCCTCTGCATTGTAGGCAGCTGAAACAGACAGACTTTCCTATGTGGGAAACAATTTTGGGACTGGAGCCCTCAAATGCAACACTCTGTGCAGGTAGGGACAGGGGAAGGGACAGCTGCAAGGGGAGGTAGCGGTGGTGGCGGCCCTGGTACTGCTGTTCTGTATTTACTTTAGGGGAAGTGGGGGCAATCTGGAGACGTTTACCAAGTCTCTGTGTTCCCAGACCCAGGGGCCCTCACACCAGCCTGTAGACATCTTGAAAAGACAGTTGACTTAACATTTGTTGAATTTCCTAAAAGCCTCGCTCATTTGTAATTTTCTTTAAAATTTTTTTTAAATTGGGATGTAGTTGACATATAATGTTATATTAGTTTCAGGTGTACAACATAATGATTAGAAATATGTATAATTAAATGGTCACCAAAATAAATCTGGTTAATATCAATCACCACACAGTTATACATTTTTTTTCTTGTGCTGAGAACTTTTAAGATTTACTGTCTTAGCAAAGTTTCAAATATACAATATAGTATTGTTAACTATAGTCACCATACTGCACATTACATTTCCAGGACTTAGGTATAACTGTCTTGTTTCCAAAAGGCAGCTGTCTTCACTAATATGGAATATAGGATCAGTAGGCCAAAGCTTGCCAGAAGTTTGCTTTAGGAGTAACTACAAGAAAAGGATTTGGGGGGCGGCCGGTTAGCTCAGGTGGTTGGAGCGCAGTGCTCATAACACCAAGGTTGCCAGTCCAATCCCCACATGGGCCACTGAGTTGCGCCCTCCACAACTAGATTGGGACAACTACTTAACTTGGAGTTGATAGGTCCTGGAAAAACACACTGTTCCCCAATAAAATTTTAAAAAAAGAAAAAGAAAAGGATTTGGTAGTGTCAAAGGCTCCAGGTTTCTATCCAGCTCTGCCCCTGATTGACTGGCTGACTTTGGGTAATTTTGCCCTTCACTGACCCCTGGTCTCCCTCTGGGTACAGTAAAGATTGCCCAGCCTGAATAGTCTATAACTTTCAGAGGCTGGCATAATGCAGACAGTGTCCCGGTGATGGTATCCACCAGTGAACCACAAATGAGGCCCTTTCAGAGCCCCACTGGACCACCCTGATACAAGTCAGATCATGAGTATGTGCTTAAAACTGTTAACTCTGCATCATCCCTTTCTCTAGTTCAGACTGGCCTTCTCTCCATAATTACCAAGGTTTTACTTGTTTTTGCTTCCATAAAATTTATGTATGCAGTACGTTCTAGTGTAATTCTAGATTCTTACATCCCAGAAGGGTTTCCCACTATAGCAGTGAGCCCAAATGTGAACGCCTACCAGAATCACCAGTAACTTTTTTTTTTTCTCAGAACCACATCATGAACCCTCCCGTACCCTCCCTATCTTTCCCTCCCCACTCAGAGAATTTGCTGCTCTAGGGGATTATTGTTACTTCTAAGCAATTGATGCATTCCTTAGGTGTACTGGAATAGAAAGAAGGTTGAGAACTTTTAAGCAGGAAAAAGGAAGTTGTGTAAACAATACCTTTGGAATAATCCATTGTCACTGGTATTATTCCTTCTTTATTCAGGCACTTTGTGGGCATTTTGAACAAGACCTCTGGCCAAATGGAAGTATATGATGCTGAATTGTTCAACATGCAGCCATTGTTTTCAGGTAGGTCGCAGTCAAGACTCATGGAAATGCTGCATATTTTAGGTTTGCTGGATGAGTTTTTGATTTGTAAAACACATTTTGTAGTTATTTTTAAAAGTGTGTCTTTCTGCCAGTTTTTTTTTTTAAGATTTTTATTGGGGAATTGGGGGGATGGGAACAGCGCTAGGGAATTGGGGGAAAGGGAACAGACAAGTTGCTGTCCTTTTGTTCTTCAGTCTAGTTGTGGAGGATGTTGCTTCACTGGCCCAAGTTGGCACTATCATTGCGCTCTTCCCGGGCGAGGCAGATCAGTCGCCGGCTTCTGGACGGCCACTCACTGCGGCTGCTGGCCGCTCACGCTGGCTGCTGGCTACACACGGTAGCCCATGGCAACCCACTGCAGCAGGGGCTGCAGCCTATGCCGTCACCGGTGACCCACGGCAGCCCAGCTCCAGGTTGAGCTGTTGTTCAGCATCTTAGCTGTAGAGGGCAGTGTCACTGTCCCTCATATGTGGGATCCGAACCGGGACCCTCCGGCGTCCCAAGCCAGCTCTTAACCATTGCGCCACTCGGCCGGCCCTCTGCCAGTTTTTTTTTTTCCCATTTGAACAAGTTTTAAGAGTGTTTTTACTCAGCACATATTTATTGATGACCGACAGGCACAAATTAGGGGCTGTGGATGTAGTAAAATAGACACAGATCCTGTCCTCACAGTGTTTAAAGACTTGAGATCAGAAACTAATCTTAGTTAAAGCAAGTTGAGGAATGATCAGAGCAGAATATTGGAGGGCATGTCTGATACTCTTTTCCATTGAAGGCCCTTCTTAATTTCTAACTGTTCTAGTTGGGGTAGAGTTTTAGAATCTCTGGTAGGTACTGGAAGTTGCTTGTATGTTGGACAGTAACTTTCAGGTTGATGCAAAGTCTCTATACTTTCTAATTTGGGAGGAGATCCATTTATTTTTCCCTAATTCAGTGACAGAAGTTGCATTGCTTCTCTGCTAGAGTGGGATCTTCCAAAATGATAGATAGGTCAGACTCAAGGGGCTCCTGTTCCCTAAATCTTAAGTACTGAGAACCATGGTGAGGGAGGGTGTTAGGTAAGGAAGTATCCTTAGGATCATGGTGAATCTGCCTGATACCTCCATAGTTCTAACTTTATTCTCTCAAAGCAGTGGTCCCAACCCTTTTGAGAATCTGATAAGGACTTGGACCTACTTCCTGGAAACATATGTAGTATACAAAAATATATATGAGATTTTTGTATATAATTTTAAAGTGCCCTTGAGTCTCGAAGCCTATCTGTGAATTTCCTACGGGTCCATAGTCTCTAAGTTAAGAATTCCTTGCTTTGTAAGAAAATGAAACTACATTTAAATTATCCTCCAAATGCTCTTCCAACTTTCAAGGAGGCAAAGAAAATTGTTCATTAATTTGTAAAAAAAATTGTAAGCTTTGGTTTATTCTATCTAGCATATTGACCTGGGGCAAGTCTTTTCATCTGGAGGCTTCATTTTTCCTTATTTGTAGAGGTTGGACCAGATGGCCCCCTCGTTTCACTCCTTAATTCTCCAAATTCTCTAAAGCTACTTACTAAATGTTCACAGTATACACTCATATTAAGCTCTGGGAAGTCCTGGAGTAAAGAAATCTGTTTTTCTTAGATTAACTGTTGAACAAATATTAAACACTATCTGTAGGCCTTACAGTTTCCTTATTTTTCTGTTTTTTGTTTTGTGTTTTGATAGATGAGTCAGTTGAGAATGAATTGACATTAGAAAGTGAGACCAAGACTTTTAGAGAGAAGGTAAGTGTGACGAACTAAGATGTGGGACCTTAAGCAAATATCTTCTAGGCCTGGGTTTCTCCATCAGTAAAATGAGCCAGTTGAACACAGGAGTTTCCCTGGCTGCTCTCAGCTCATTCATTCTGTGGTTGTCTGGACAGTTAACCTGCAGAGGCCTCTTTGGCCCCATAGAGAGTAGTCCTCCTCTCTGGGCCAGCTACACACCGCTCTATGCCGATGTTTTGAACTGGTTCTCTCGGCTGATACAGGTGTAGTGTACCACTTGTTTTTAAGATTTAATCCAAGTTTCAAAGAATATTGGTTGTAGCTTGGAAATTTACATTAAAACAAAGCAAACTTCAGGATTTTCAATGTAGAAGGATTCTACAAAGCTCATCTCATCCCAGGATGGCAAATTGAATGAATCTTCAGTGCTGCCTGGAGCACTGTATTGAGAAGGGATGTGAAGCTATTGTGAAACTCACAGGGAAAGGCTGAGTGCTCTATTAGCAATGTCTGTTATGGGTGTAGGGTTGGAAAATGGTAAACTGTGTGCCAAACATTTACCAACTCTAATTCGAGTCAAGCAAGTCTTTATATTTTACAGGTGGAGACACTGTTGATTGGTAAATGGCCTATTACAATTTACAAAGCAAGTTTTTCAGATTTGTTAATATTATTTGATTCTCACAACAAGCCTCTGAGGTAGATAGCTATGATTCAGCCCAATTTACAAGTGAGGTCATGAAGGCTCAGAGAAGCTGAGAGTTTCCCCATAGTCACACAGCTAGGGGAACTTAGCCTGTCCCGAGTAACCAAATTTGTCTCTTGCACAGATGGACTCTTGCATTGAAGCCTTTGGTACAACCAAACAGAAGCGGGCTCTGAACTCCAGGAGAATGAACACAGTTGGCAGTGAATCTTTGAATCGTGCCGTAGCTAAAGCCGCAGAGAATATTATTGATACAAAGGGTGTGACCGGTAAGCAGCTGGAACTTGGGGTAAGAATCTGCTCACAGAGATAGCGTTCTCTGGAGATCTTTTACCCGCCCCACAGATAGAAGTGGTGGGAGTTAGGGCTAAATTCCTTCCTACCTCTCTCTGAGGGCCTTTGCAGGAACAGATGCCAGAAGTAGTAAGAAACATCTGACGTGGCCTGCCCTCAGTACGCTTTCTATTCAAATGGAATTTTAGTAATTTTTAGAAAATCCATACGCTATAATATAAATATTTTCCTATGTTTTCTTTCAGTATTTTTACAATTTTATTTTTACATCTAAATCTTAACTCAATGAAGAATTTTTTTGGCAGATGGTACAGACCTCATTTTATGTTTTCCAAATGATTAGCCAGTTGTCCCAACTCCATCCTTTTCTTTTGTAAAAGACGATTTGAAAAGTCAGGTTTATCATTTTACCACATTTTTAATTGTGTTCTGGTCCATTGTTCTGACCGGCCATTCCTATAGCAGCACTGGGATCTTTTGATTATCATCATCCAGTTTATTGTCTGATAGGTCAAATTTATCCTCCTTTGTTTTTACTTTTCACACATGTATTGGTTACTGTAGCATGCTTTTTCTGCCAGGTGATCTTAAAAATTATTTTGTCAAATTCCCTCAAAATCCAATTGGGATTAATATGGGGAGAATCAGTGTCTTATCAATATTATATTTTCCTATCCAGGAACATGGAAATATGTCTCTGTATTTATTCAAAGACATACTTTAATGTCTAAGTAAATTTTTGAATTTTTTTTTGTTCAGTTATTAGAGGATATATAAAAAGAAAAATAATTCACCAATTTCCCCATCATCCTGCCAGACCAACGGTTATATTTTCCTGCTTTCATCTCTGTCCTTGTCTATGTGCATACTTAATTCTCACATGGTTATTCCTGTGTGGTAGTTACAGTTTTATAATTTGATTTTTTTTTTTTCCCCTCACAGTATATGGAGAAATTTTCTGGAAGTTAAGCCATTAAAGGCTATTTGGAATGTCCCTCATTTTTAGTTTCTGTCATATTGTATTGTAAATATTCATTAGCATACCTATCTCTCCCGACTATACTGCAAGTTACTTGAAGGGAGACCACACTGGATCTATCTTCTCTGGTGCCTGGTTAGGTTTGCGTCATGGGTGGACATTGTAGTGCTAGACCTGTCAGCCTGAAGGGGAGGTTGGGCCATATTAGTGGGAACATTCAGATTAGGGGTTTCTGGACTGATTATGACCTTGAGTGCACAGATTTCAAAGAGTGTTGGGGAACCTGAAACCAAACAGGGTGATGCCCATACTGACTCTTCCTTTGTTGAAAAGCTCTGGTCAATGACGCCAAACGTGATGACATGCAAGATGACTCCCTCTACCTTCCTCCCTGCCACGCCGATGCAGCCAAGCCTGAAGACGTGTATAAATTTGAAGACCGTATCCTTCTTGCAGTAGAAACACTGCCTTATTTCACAAGTTGAGATGTACGCACATGAGCGGTAGAGCCAGGCACTCTGAGGGTGTCAGTGGTCCCGTGATGCTCACAAGGCTACATGCAGACCTTCGCCCAGTGCTGTTGCTGGGAAGTCAGCTAGGCTCCCTCACTAGCTGAGGGACCCCCTCTAGCACCGGCCTCTCTGCTCCTGGGATTCAAATCCATTCCTCAGCAAAATGTCAAATGCCCACATTGCAGCCCTGTGGGGGTTATCCTCCATAAAGAGTCCAAATATGGCTTAAGTCAGCCAGTGCCCAAAGTCTAGGGCAGACTGATTTTGTAAAAGGAAGGGTTGGAGCATAGAATTTCCCTACTCACGGGTCTAATCAGATGGAAAAATGCCTACAGTGGCTTTGTGAGAAAGAGAAGGCAGAAAAACTCAGGCAGGGAATGAGGTCTGGGCCGGGAGTCTGCAGAACTGAGTCCCTGAGCCCTGCTCCAGAGAGCTGTGTGACCCTACCCTCCCTGAGTTTCGACTTTCCCATCTCTAAAATGAGGCCCCCAGATCTAGCTAGTTGGATGTTTCTATTTTGGTCAGATTGTGTTCTTGACCAGTTACTAGTTCTTTCCCCTGCGGAGTATGACGCTCTTCAGAGCCCATCTGAAGCTTTCAGGAATGTCACATCGGAAGAAATACTGAAGATGATTGAAGAGAACAGGTACCCTCACTTGGGCGGATGGAGTGTCTGGGGGAGTGATGTTGGGACACAGCAGTAGTCAGACCTGATTGAGCTCTTATAGGTGCCAAGCACTCTTCTAAGCGCTTTGTCTCTTTTAGTCCACAGAAAATCACACTGAAGGAGGGTACTATGATTGGCCTTAATTTAAAGATAAAGGTCATATACAGAGATGTACAGAAGCTGTACAGCAACTAGCCCCGCCACTAAAAGGCAGAGAGGGGATTCACACCCGGGCACCTGACTTGAGAGCCTGTGCTCCAAACCACATCAGGATTTGGCAAAGTGTGGCCTCTGTGCCAAGTCTGGCCTGCTGCCTGTGGATAAAGTTTTATTGGAACTTAACCATGGTCATTCGTTTTTAGATTATTGGTGGCTGCTTTTGCACTGCAATGGCAGATTTGAGTTGTAACAGAGACCATGTGGACCACAAAGCCGAACATATTTATTATGCTAGCTCCTTACCGCCCCTGCACTACACCACGCTCCTCCTGTTACAAGGAGCATTGGTAGATGGCCCTTCCTCAGCTGTTGGGTGTATGTCAGGTGTGAGGGGTGCCTGCTGTTCTAATTGTGAGTTAATGAATGGTTCCTGACAGATCTGATCGTACCCGACACTCTTCCCTTTCCCTCCCTCGTTTTAGCCACTGCTCCTTTGTCATAGAGGCGTTGAAGTCTTTGCCATCAAACGAGGAGAGCCGAGACCGCCAGGCCCGATGCATATGGTTCTTGGACACACTCATCAAATTTCGAGCACAGAAAGTGATTAAGCGGAAAAGTAAGTTCATGATGGACATTTTATTCTGATTATTTCCAGTCCATTGTTTGTCTGTAATTCGACCAGCTCTAACGAGAGAAGAAAATGGGTGTCTCTTCAGGTCTTTATTTTTAATGATGTCACAGTGAGGTTTCTGTTGGTACTGCTGACATGCTGAGAGGACTTTTCAAGCTCTTTCCTCTTCTGCCACTGAGGACAGGTTGGATTATGTAAGTGTTTAGAGCTGACATTCACGTCTGTTCTGCATTAGGCAAAGTGTAGTATCCAAGTCAAATGAACATTTCAGACAATCATCAGCCACAGAGGGAGAAAACTCGACCGTGCTCATGAAGGCGTGTGGCAGGTTTGTATTGTGTCAGCTTATTTCTAACTGGGAGAGGAGAGAGTCAGTTTCTGCTGGTAACCCCAGTGTCACCTACAGCTAGGGCCATGGATAGCTGTCACACCCATCCATCCAGAGTTGGAAACCCAGCAGGAGACACCTGTGGTTTTAGGTACAAGGTGTATGCAGTCTTGTTACTGTGTTTGGGCACCCAAGAATCCTCCTGTTTTTCAGTTACTTGCTTAATTCTCATTTTCACATTCCAATCTCCCTTCCTTTCCCTGTCTCTGGACTTTCTCCACAATCTATTTTGCTTTCTAACATCTTAGGAATTCTGTGTCTTTAAGGCCTCATTGGAGTCTATTGTTCTTTTTTGTTGCTTCCCCATCATAAACATCTTTCATGCAATTTTATTTGAAATGAGTACGGTTTCATTTGAAAGTGGCTGTTCTCTTACCATATGGTTCTGTTCATAACAGCAGCCAAACTGTTGGCCTCTTCTCCCAGCTCATGGATGACACGTGGCCTGAGGATTTTGATAGAAATGATCAAACTCAACTTTGTATTGTAGGTGCCCTGGGACCTGGAATTCCACACATCATCAGCACCAAATTGCTGAAGCACTTTACCTGCTTGACCTACAACAATGGCAGGTCAGGAGGGTGATTTCTTTGGCTTCTTCCTGTAAAGGAGAAAGCAGGTTGTGTGTGTGTGTGGTGGTGGGGGGGGGGGAGTGGTGAGAGTGGGAAGTAGGGGCTTGGCTAGAATGCCATGTCCGCAGAGATACTGTGCGGACGAGAGCACTGCCATTTGGAGGGGTCGGGTCAAGTAAGCTTAGGAAACACTATATTGTACATACTCTGTCCCCCTGGGAGAAGTTCACATTAAAGGCTCTGGAAAGTCTTGCAACAAAGACTTATCTCATATCACACACTTCTTTTGAGGAACCCTTCCTGATGTCCCACAGAAGTGGCATTCTGTGGAAAGGCAGTGTTACAGGAAAGGGCAGGCCTGTGTGATGGTTTTGGGGAAAGAACCCCAATCAGTGCACCTGCTGTTTGCTTGAAATATGTTTCCTGCTCTGAGTGTGCTTGGGAGAATCATCAGCAACTCAGTGCGGAGTGACTGCCTTCCCGGCAGCCCTGCTGAGCAGGTGGGCACAGACTCAAGGTCCTTGCGGTACGAGGTTCTCACGGTGCCTGGGGAAAGTATAGGTGCGACCTTCTGTCCGCCTTGGAGGGAGCACTGGGATTGGGCCAGTGTCCACTGTGTGAAGCCTTGGGCCCCTTGTAGGATAAGGAATATTGCTCGAGTTTCCTTTCCTCTCCCCAAGATGGGAACACATTGAGTACCTATGGCAACAGGCTGGGATGTTTTCATTTTGCTTTCAGAGAAAATCATCTTCGAGTTTAATTCTGTCTCTCTACTGCCACTGTTTTTGCAGTTTGCGGAACTTGATTTCCGATTCTATGAGGGCAAAGATCACTGCGTATGTGATCTTACTGGCCTTGCACTTAAATGACTTCCAGATTGACCTGACCACGTTACAGAGGGACCTGAAGCTCAGTGAGAGAAGGTGAGCACGACACAACAGAAGCTCCCTTTGGGTGCCTCGATGTATTTCTGGTATCACTGGAAAGCATGAGGCTCCATTGAGGGAACTGGGGACATTTAAAATGGGAAAGACTTAGGACCAGAGGACAGTTGGCCGTGAGTGAATGGTGGAATAGGTGAGCAGCCACTTGTACGGAGTGCCTTCTCTATGCCAGGCACAGTGTTCAATCTGCCAGAACATCTGTGATTTCCCGAAAAAAACAATTGAAGAATCTACAGTTCAGAGAAGGCGCTGACTTCCCAAGATCACACAACCAAGAGGAGGAATAGTTGGGCTTCAAAGCTGAGCCTTCCCGTAGCATGTGTCCCTGTGTAACTGAGCGGCCTCCAGTCTCCACATTGCTTTCCCTGGGGTGAGGGATTCTGTATGGTCCTGAGGGGTGGAACCTAGGGTTGGAAGTTATAAGAACCCAATCTCAGCTTAGCAAAAAGACCTTCCTCGGAGTCAGATGTAAGGGGCCGCCAGGGAGGGCAAGACGGGGCCACCGTTTGGCAGGGATGTCACACTGGGGCTTCTCTGACCAGACGGGGAGAGTTGGCAGAGATGACCTTTCAGGCCCTTTCTAGCCTTGCTAGAAGGAATTCACACTGGGTAGGGAGTAGAACTTCCCAGAATCCTGACCTGTGTGGTCTCTTGGCCTTTGTCAGTGACTTCAGGGCATCAGACACCCAAGGACCCTGATGGTGTTCACGAGAGCCTGTGAAAACACCTTTTTCTGGACCCTTCTAGCAGTCCACAGAGGGATTACTCTGAGGCCTGCCCACAAACAGCATTGTCACAGGCAGTGATACAGAAAATCCAAAAACAAGATACTTGGCACCTGTTCTAGCAATCTTCTAGCAAGTGCTCAATCCTGGTTATAGGAAGTAAACAAAGTTATTAATAGGGTCTAGATAGATAACCTGGTTTTCAATCACCTATAAGGGTATTTTCCAATGGCAGCATATTAAAATGAAGTCGTCTGAGGCTCGGCGGACCTCGCCTGCCTCTCTCCTGGTGGCCACTTTGGGGACTCTGTCCTCATGGCCTGGAGCACAAGTGTGCTGCTCCCTGCTGCCAACCCTCCCTGAGCAGTGACATCCTGAGGAGACTCTCCATTTATTTTGTGTGTTTGTTCCTTAGGATGATTGAGATAGCGAAAGCCATGAGGCTGAAGATCTCTAAAAGAAAGGTGTCGCTGGCAGCCGGCGGGGAGGAGGAGCACAGACTGGGCACCCTGAGCATCCCGCTGCCTCCAGCCCAGACCTTGGATCGCCTGTCAAAGCGGAGGAGACTCACCTAGAGGTGTGCTTGCCAGACAGAGCATTTTGGCTGCATCAGAGCCTCTACTTCTATTCATTTCCATTTTTGTTTTTTAAAAAAGAGGAAAAAGAAGCCTTGCTTTGGCACGGGTATGAAGCCAGAAGCCAGCACCTCCATCGTGCTTGCCTTAAGCAGAAACATAAAGTGACCGTCATATTGGACTTCACCTCCCTCCTTTGGTGTTGCTGTGATTATAAATGGCAGATGGTTCTCATGTTGGTTCACATGTGGTGATGTGGGAGGTGGGGCCTGGGAAGTCAGAATCAAAAGATCTCACAGGCTGAACCCTGGGCAAAATCTAATGGATAAAGGTTAATAAAGAGAAATGTGAAGTGCCATGCTCAGGTCTGGAAGGGGCAGTGGAATACATGGTGAGGAGACAGTCTGCAAACTGGCATGGATAAGACGCCAGGAGCAGCGTGGACCCCAGGGAGATAAGGATGCTGTCTGCAAACCTCTGGAGAGTCATCACAGACAGGAAGAGATGTCCCCAGGAGGTAGATATACTAAGAATGGGGTTGGGTTTTTCTTTGTCCGTCTGTCTGTCCATTCATCTGTTCATGCATCAATACTTAGTGAGTCTTGCTCTGTGCTGGGCATAGAGGATCAACAGGGCATGACTTCATAGGGCATAAGGGGAGGGGGATGAATGGGACAAATCAATAGACTTTTTCAAGACAGGATTCAGTGCTTCCATGGGGATAACGGGGGTGGTATGAGAGCACAGAGGAGGGGCACTTAACTGAAATTTGAAGAGATCAGTGAGGGTGTTCCATGGATGTGATGACAAAATAAGACCCTGAAGTATGGATAGGATTTCACCTACTGCGCCTTAACAGGCATCACCACTCAGGACCTCAATTCCTTCTGTAAAAAACGGGGCAATGACCTCACTAAGTCAGTGTTTAATATGCTATTGATGGAACATAAGGTGATTTTAGTGGCACGGGGATATATCAAAATACACAAGGTTATAGTGGTTAGCTAAACTGCAGTAACAAATTTCCCTAAATGGATGGTTTCAACAAAGATTGATTTGTAGTATTGTGAATATTTTCATTTAATAGTTTGCTTTAGTGTGTATTAAAAAACACCAGCTTTCCATCTACTGTAGTAATACAAACATTTCTTTTTAGTTCAGCAAAATTAAGTGTCCTAGATAGGCTCCTGGAATGGAAAAAGGACAGTAGGTAACAACTAAGGAAATATGAACAAACTGTGGACTTCAGTTAATAACAACATGTCAATATTGGTTCATTAATATTGACAAATGTACCACACTATGTAAGATGTTAGGAAAACTCAGAGGTGGGGTGGGGAGGGTAATAAGGGAACTCTACTACCTATTTACTCACTTTTTCTGTAGATCTAAAACTCTTCTAAACAATAGCCTATTAAATTTTTTTTAAAAAGAAGATTTAAAGGAAACATTAAGTACTAACTTTCTCCTCAGGTGACGTGGATATAGCAAAAAACTAAGATGCTGAGTAACTGAAGTTGGGGAAAATATGTTTATGGATCTGAAACCCTTTGCAGACTGTCAGGTCCCCCCACCAGGGACTGTGACTGGTGATCTTCACGAAGCCCAGGGCGCAGGCAGGGCTGCAGTACAGTGCCTGTCACATGAGGACACAGACCTTGGAACCTGGAACTGGACAAGGTGGTCCTGGGATTCTGTGTCCTTCCGTGGTGCCTCGGGAAGGTGAGCAGTGCAGGGCCTGCGTCCAGCTGCCCAGGAACTCCAGCATATACCAAGGCCAAGGAGAGTCCCCCCAAAGTGCTGCTTTTAAAATATAGAACTTTATTTTAGTTGCTGAGAGTTTCATACGCACTTGGTTCACAAAAAAGTCATTGCTTACAAAATAATAAAGGCAGCATTTTATACAGCGACTCACATTGGGGCCACCAGAGAAGTGCAAAGGACAGTGTTGAGACAGGAGGGGCCAGTGCTCTTGTGCCCAAAGTCCTCAAGGAGAGGCCATGCTCCTGGCTCCCTCGCCCCCTCCCACCTGACCTGGGAGAGCAGCACCGAGGGCCTGGTGGAACCAGCGTGGGAAGCCATTGGTGAGGTGCAGACAGCGACCCCAACAGGCTGCTGGAGGCCCCACAGGAAAGGTTGAGTGGGAGGGGGATGGTTCAGGTCCTACATCCAGCCCCCTCCTCCAGAAGTCAGTGCAGGGTTTGAGCCCACCTGGCTCTGGGACCTTGACACACAGTACAGTTCAGTAAATCTCTTTGGGAACTGGCCTTCCTCTCCTCACTCAGACTACTGGCTCTACCCCAGGCCTGGGCTGGGGACTGGGGACATAGACAGACCTGCCCTAGGCAGGTGAGTGGCACAGGGATGGACCTGGATAACTCCAAGGCAGAGAGTGCTCAGTACCTGAGGGGCAGAGAAAGGCAGGGGAGGCTCAGGGAAGAGCATTGAAGATGGCAGTGTCTGAGCTACACCTTGAAGAATGGGGAGGCCCTGGCCATGTGCAGATGGAGAGGAGGGCACGCATGCCAGGAGGAGGGGGACAGCATGAGCCAAGGCACTGAGTGGAAACCATGGGGGGTCAGTAAAGGCAGGTGGTTGACCATGGGAGCATGGACACAGATGAGGGGCCCTAGGCACCTTCATCTCCACCAGTCTGGAGGGGCAGCTGGCGTGGGTGTACTTTTGGGGTTTGAATCCACCGAGCTAATGTCCTCCTGCGTTTGGGAGCTCCTTGCGGGTAGAGTGGAGCCATATGCGTCCCTGCACTGCCCAGCTCGGCACCTGGGCCACTCACAGGAAACCTCTACACTCCCCTCCTGTTTTGGGCATGTCCCTTATCCCTAGGCAAAGCCCCTTCCTCCCTCACAGGTCCATGTCTAAGTCTATGAGAACTATGTCCTTAAGGAAACCAAACAACTTCTCCAGCCTCTGCCGGCAGCTGGGAGGGTGTGGCGGTGTCCCTGGAGAGATCAGGACAAAGATGTAGGAAAGGGGGAAATTCTGGGGCAGCTGTCTCTTTCCACCTCACTAGAATCACATCCCTCTTTCAGGAGTAAATCTCTTCCCTGAGAAGAGCTTGGATTTGGTGTGTAAAACACAGCTCTCTGTAACTCAAACAGAAGCTGTAACTCAGACCAAAGCTTCAGTATCAGTTTTCCCCAGCTCTTCATAACCTCTACAAGAGCTTGAGTGACTGGAAACCCACCAATATCCATTCCTTTTTTCTCCTTGGAAAACACTTCCAAGTTCCTTCCTACTGAGAGCTGTGGAGCTGAAGGGTTTTGGAGGTACCTTCTTCTTAGTCCCTGGAGGCTTTAGGAGCCTGGTTTTTCAGGGGTGTGGTGAGGAGGAGGACCTGGATCCTTCTCAGGCACTGCTGCTTCCATCCTGAAGGCCTCACCTCAGCTTGGCTCAAGACCTGAGTCTGAGAACAGGATATGTGGCTGGTGCTCCAACAGTCTTTGGGCAGCGCGCGTTACCACACTCGGGCTCTCCATCCTTATAGGATGGTGCAGAAGATGCTGCGGTTGCTGTGGTACCCACCTTCAACACGGGCTGTGATCCTGGTTGCCATGGCTGTTACCTTCTGCCCACTGTGGGCTGCAGAGGGGCCTCGGAGAGAGTTTTCAAGGTGAGGGCGTGCTGGTGGGTTCACCAGGCGCCATGTGTCAGACCTGGAGGTGCAAGTTGATAGTCAACGGACTCTGAAAGTCTACAGCATTAGCCAAATGCCCTGCACAGTCTTACTTTTGGCTCAAGCTCATTGGATCCAGGTGTTCAAATCTGGGTGTAAGTTTAGTCTCCCAAGTGAGGAATGGGACGTGTGAAGCTAATGGGCAAAAGTCTTGCATTCTAGTTCCAGCTACGCCTTCAATTCTATATGTAACCTTGGACAAGTTCCCTCTAGAAGCCTCAATTTCCCCATCTTTATAAGATCTGGAAAAGATTAGTGGCTTTCTTTTTTTCTCTTTCATTTTCCTTTTCTTTCCCCCAGCCCGATGACCATGAATGTTTATAACTTTATTCATAATCACCCAAAACTAGAAACTAAATACCCTTCAGCTGATGACTGGATAAAGGAACTGTGTGTTACAGCCATACAATGGAACACCACTCAGCAATACAAAGAAGGGATGACAGATGCACCACCATAGGAGAATCTCAGGTGCATTAGGCTAAATAAAAGAAGCCAGACTCAAAAGACTTCATACTGGATGATTTCTTTTACATGACATCCTGGAAAATGCAAATCTATAGAGGACGGAAATTGGTGGGTTTCCAGTCCCTTGAGCTCTAGTGGAGATTATAAAGGGTTGGGGAAGATTGAATGCTCATGAAGCTTTGCTCAGGGCTTTCTATCATTTGAGTTACAAGGAACTGCCTCTTCACGCACACCAAATCCTAGATTGCTTAAGCCAGCAACAAAGTCTTCTATGTATTTTTATGCTGATAATATGACATTAAGTAGGACTGTATAAGGTGTGGATAGAGTCAGACGGGGGCTACCATGGGATGAGTAAAAATGCCTGGATGTATGTTCAAAGAATTCTAAGTGTTTTGAGTTTGGCAGAAGAGAGAGCTCCTGAATGGGGGTGATGAAAAGAGAGGGCTAGAAAGGAGAATCTGGACCTGACAGTATGCGGCGGAAAATGCCAGGCTGACAGGTCTGGGGTCTCCAAAGTGGGAGGGGAAAGTGGACCCCAGGGAGTCTACAATATGATCTGCTGGGATGTGGGAAAATATTAGAATTTCTATTTTTCATTTTACATTTTATGTTATGTATATATAAATATACATATATGAGGGGGTTTCCTCAAAAATATTTGTACTGAGCGTGTGTATAATAAAGAGATCTTTACTATAGAAACAGGATCTATCAAAGGTTTTTGACCATAGATGTGACAGGACTACAGCTGATTTAGAAAGATTAATCTGTAGGATGCATAGGACAGCCTGCCTGGCAGAAGTGGGGGTGCTGGGCTAAGGGCAGGGAGACCAGGCAGGGGGTTGCTGCAACAGGACGGGTATTAACAGTGCAGAGATGATACCCACAATAACAGTAATAATTATTATTTTTATAACCAGTATAGCAAAGCACCAACCAATCTGAACAGAGTCCATCCATTAACCACTGGAATAGCTATACTGAATAGGGGCCATAGGTCATGGGGAGGGGTGCTGAGACCTGAACGAGGGTGGTGGCAGTTGTGGAAAAGAGGTGCCAGACACATTTTAGAAGCAGAATCAAGAGGACTTGGTAACTGACTGATGTTTGGTGTTAGGGAGAATGGTGATGTCATCGAAATGGGGAACAGGGAAGGACAAAGAGGTTCAGGGAAGATAAGTATGAAGCGATTGTGGTACACTGAGGCAGAGGTCCGAAAACCAGTGAAACAGTGGCAGCAGCAAGGAACGTTTTTGTAATACCTCAGATGTTCTGCTAGGTCACATGATCTTATTTTATTTTAAACTGGTGCTACAAAGTAGAAATTAACTGGATTTTACTAAGGCTCAGAGATGTTGAGTAACTTGCCCAAGGTCACACAGCCAGTCAATGGCAAAGCTGAGATTTGAAACCACATATCTCTGACTCTTAAAGCATGTTTCCTCCCAGGCCTGACAGAAGCCCAAGCACAGGCCTTTATCTGACTAGCGCAAAAGCTGGCAGGACTATAGGGAGCAAGGGTGGCCGCCATCCCCAGGCCTGGCTTCCCCAGTGACCTCACTGTGGTTCTAGGCAACCCCAGACACTTACTTTTTCTTGAAGACCAAGAACTTGTTGTTTTTCATGATGCATTCGTGGTTGTTTGAGACCTGCTGGAAGATGGTCTTGTTGGTCTTGCCCTGGAAGATGATGTTCTCCTGCACCAGAGCCTTGGTGCGGCCCCGCACTGCGATGCCATAGGCACGGAATGAATGGATCCGGTTCTTTATTACCTGGGAGAGGCAGCCAGAGCTTGTCACACCTCAGGGACTCCCAGGTAAGTGAATTACCAGTTATAAATCAGGGGTGAGAACATGCGACGTAGGTCAGCAGTAAGCCATGGGAGCTTGGGGAAGGGACATTGAGACCAGCTTTAGGGAACCAGGGAAGTCTTCCTGGAAGAGGTGATGGGTAAGCTGTAGGAGTTTATCAGGTGGAGAGCAGGGGAGGGATGTTCCAGCAGAAGAAACAAAGGCCTGGCAGAGAGAGAGAGAGGAGGTGGTGCCAGAAGCCAGGGCCACTACAACCAGCTGAGGCAGCAGCTTGCCCCCCTCTCCCATTACTCTGCCCCCACAGTGCTCAGACACAGAGCCAAGGAGTTCCATTCTATTTGCCTAAATCACCACTCAGGAAGCTTCAGAGCTGAAGAGGCTTTGGAATCATAATTTCACAAGGGCAGGGACTGGGTCAGTTTGGCTCAACACTGAAACCCTAGCACCCAGCACAGTGCTTTGCATATAAAGGGAGCTCAGAGCTCACTGTTCCACAGGGGAGACAAATGGGCAAAGGAACAGATAGACACCAAGCACCGTAGGAAGTGCTCTGTGAGGTAGGGGTGAGCATAAGCACCTTAGAAATCCAGAAAAGGGGCTTCAAACAGCCAGGGTGGTCAGGGAGGGCTTCCTGAAGAAAGTGATAGCCAAGCTGTAGGACTGAGGTAGCAAAAGGAGAAGGGGGTCCTGAGTACACAGGCACTAGTGTGTGGAAAGGCCCTGAGGCAGGTCCTGTGTGAGGCTATTCTGTTAGGGGAAGAGACCTGCAATAGCCCCGACCTTGACCTGGAGACCACAAAGATACCCCAGGTGGAGCCCCCGCCCCTGGTTTCCGGTTGGTAACTCATTTACTCTTCAGGGCCCAATTCGTATGTCTCCTCCTGTGTGAAGTCCCACCTTTATCTCCCAGGCTGGGCTTTGGCAAGAGGAATGATGTCCCTTCCAGAGATGGGTGCTTAAATGCTTTGTGCTTCTCAGCAGAGAGGGCATGAGGGTTCTGCCAGGGCTGTGCCCTGGGTTGGCACCAGATGGCACACACATGCACACATACACACCTTGGTGTCAGACCTGGGCAGCAGCTGCAGCCCACTGCCCCGGTTGCCAATGATGTCGTTTTCAATGACGATGGTGCTGTCACCCTTGGTGATGATGCCATGGCCTCTGTTGTCATAGATACCATTGCCCCGGAGCTCCACCTTGCACTGGGCCTCAACCTTGACCCCACTCTGGCGGTTGCAGGAGATGCTGTTGTTAGCCACACGGGTGAGCTGGCTGCTCTGGGCCACAGTGATGCCTCTGTCCCCGTTGGCGTGGATCACGTTGGTGATGATGTGCAGTGCCTCACTGCTCTGGACGTAGAGTCCTGAGGCTGCGGGCGGAGGGGGTGGGGCGTAGAGAAAGCACAGGGTGGGCCCAGGGTCAGCCCCAACAACACCAGTCAGGAAAAGCCTTCCTGGGACTGTGCCCCCCAGGAGAGAGGCAGGGAAGAAGGGGTAGCAACACTGAGAACCAGCCCTTGGGAGTTACAGCTTCCAAGCTGGATGACACAGAGCAAGAGGAAACCTGGGAACATCAAAAAAATTCTGTTCTTGGGGCGGCAGGTTAGCTCAGGTGGCTAGAGCGCAGGCTCATAACACCAAGGATGCTGGTTCAATTCCCACATGGGCCAAAGAGCTGCACCCTCCACAACTAGATTGAAGACAACTACTTGACTTGGAGCTGATGGTCCTGGAAAAACACACTGTTCCCCAATAAAGTTTCTAAAAAAAGAAAGAAAATGTTGTGCCTTCTGAACCAAGTCCTCATTAAATGCAGTGTCAGGGAAACGTGATGCCAGAAGATTCCTTAGGCCCCGCGGGTCATCTGCCCAGGCTCGCATCCTGTGCTTGAATGCCTCTGACAACATTATCGTCCTGCTGCTGTTTGCACCTCCCCTGGCGGGGTGCTCACTACCCGCTCAGTGCCACCCATTCCACCTCCAGACAGACAGACGTACCTGGGGGAAGTTGTTTCGTTTTCCTTCCCATACTGAGCTGGAATCTGCCTCCCTACTATTTGGGGAAATTTTCTTCATGAGAAGAATTCTATCATTTCTGAGTAGACAAATTTATTAAGCTAAGTAATATAGGTCTAGCATGTGTTAGAAATTTTGGGAAGAAATGGTGTTTGGGGTTGTAGATGCTTACAGACACTATGTGTTTGTAGAAAAAAAGCAAAAAAAAACCATCAATGGGCTCAGAGCTGCACAATTTGGTCAGGAAGAGACAGCAAGGGAGGAGGACCAGGGGACAAGAGGAGGAAGACTCCCCAGTGGTGACATCCACCTGCCACCAGAGCACGAGGCACCGGGCAACACAAGGAGGAGGGTGTGGGGAGGACGGCGACGGGTCACGCGGAAGCAGTTTGGGCCATGAGCCTGCGAGTTCGAACCTCTTGGTGGCACCTGCCTGTTGCTTTTCCTACTTGGTTGAGAACAACAAATATAAATCAAGTATTTGTGAATTTATGCAGCTTTATCTGCCACATGGAGGAAACCCTGAGCTGGGAGGGGACAGAACTCATTTTCCGGGTGAGTGGGCTGGGGCTGCTGGCTACAGATCTCAGTACCCTCTGCCACTCCCAGAGGAATGAGCTTGCCAGGGCCTGGCACCCTCTTTTTAACAAGCCTTCCTCCATCAGCACCCCCAGAGCAATTCTGATAATCAGCCAGGTTTAGGAGCCCCAGAGTTGGAGTTAGATGACCTCCACAGTAAGGTTGTTTTTTTTTTCAATTCAATAAGCATTGAATACCTACTATAATTTTTTGACAAGTGTTAGATAACATGGACTTAAAACACTCTTAGTTTCTGCATATCTAAGAAAAAAATCATTGCCAATTAAACCATGATATGCCATCAACCGCAAGACACATCTCATCAGAGATGTTAAAATGTGTCTCAGAATATATTAGAAATGTGTGTACCAGGTGTGGATTTGGCACTGCAGGGGCAGGGGCCACTGACAGGGGTGGGAATCAGTTCTTTGCCTCAAGTTCACAGCCTGTCAGAGTTGACGAAACAGCCACAGAAACAAATACAGTCCCAGGCCCCCTAACAAGTAAGTGCCACTGGGGATACGGGGAGGGCACGGTTCAAAGGAGGAAAGGATAGAGGGTGCATTCATGGTGGGCTTTGAAGTTCAAGTTGTTTGAAATGTGTGGATGGGAGAAAGGGAATTTCAGACAAGGAAAATAGCATGAGCAGAGTCGGGGAGGTAGGGGACTGGATTATCAGGTAAGTGGCTGAAGCGAGTGGCCAATGAGGCTGGAAGGGCCAGTCCATGAAGGGCCCTTAAGGCAGTGAGGAGCAGGGGCTGAGAGGGAGGGGACACTCACCTCCATTGTGGTTAATACTGTTAGACTCAACAAGAGCTATGGTGATGGGCCGGCGCAGCGGGTCATCGTCCTTCTCCAGCTCTGTCTCCCAGAGGATGGCGTCCCCGTCCTCACTGAAGTTCTCCTGGGCCCCATGGCCTCCAGGGAACTCACCGGAACCATCCTTCTGGCTAAACATTGCCACTCCATACAGGCCATTGTAGCTGACGTGGTTGCTGGTGACGTGGGGCAGGCTGGATGACATCATCCACACACCACAGCCCTTATTAGCTGGGACAATGAAAGGAGCTAGTCACTGATACCAAGCAAAGCGTGAGGTACCCCCTAGAGTTCCCCCAGGAGGGGAAGCAAGAAAGGCACTGGCCTGGGAGCCCATCCCTTGATTTGCTAATGGCCTTGGACTTGATGGCTCTGGCTGCAGGCTTCTCCTTCATGTAAGAGGGAAAATAACAGTCAGGACCATCTCTCAACTAGGATCATCCCATAGGGTGTAAAAGTGCTCTGAGAACTGCCAAGGCCACACATCCAGATCAGCAGCACACAAGCTCATGGTGACAGTGTCAAAGGGGCCCTCAGTGCATCCGGCCCAACCCCTCCCTGCAGAGACGGGGGCAGCCTGAGTTTGAATCCCAGCCCTACCACTTCCTAGCTGTGTGACCTTGAGCAGGTTATGGAACCTTTCTGCCTCAGTTTCCTCATTTCTAAAATGGGGTTAATAACTGTACCTCAGAAGGCAGTCATGAGGATTAAATGTGATAATGCATATAAGGGGCCTAGCAGAGTTGGACCTGAATACATGTTAGCTGCTATTATTATTATTATTACTATCATCATCATCATCATCATATACGGTCCAGAAAGATTAAGGCTTTGCCCAAAGTCACAGAGTGAGTGAGAATAGCTTTCTTTCTATGGTTATCCTATTTCTCCTATTATATTTTCAGTTCTCTGGATCAAAAGAAAGGATAAGAGAAGTTAGATGCTCATATGTCACAGCTTAAGTGTCCCTGTCCTTACACAAGACCCAACTCTGGCCTTTTGCTGTTTTAAATGGGGGTAAAGCCCTCAGCTTTGCTGACCCCACGGGGTCAATCTGATTACAAGGTGACTTACGACAGGCTCGTTCTGAGAGGGGCTGTGTGGCTGGGACCTGGGGTGCATGCTGTTCAGTGAGGTCTCTGAGGCCCAGGGAAAGGAGGTGACTTTCTTGGGACCCCCAAGCTGGAGGTGGAACCTCCGGGAACGTGCTTCTCACCATAAATAGTGTTTCCTTCTATTAGCCCTTTGCCTTCTTCTCCCACGACCACTCCGTCTGAATAACCAAAGCAGATGAGGTTGCTCCTGAGCACGGGGACCCCTCCCCGGCGGATGTCCACGCCTCCCCACTGATTCTCACGGATGACATTTTCTACAGAGAGAGAGAGGGCAGAAAAGAGGGTCAAGACCCGAGGGCCACCTCCAGTGCTGGCAGCCGAGAGGAAGGACAGTCCAGACCAGCGTGTCCAGACTTTACCCTATCAGCAGTCAGCATCCTGAACCGTGGTTGGTGTTGGATGTTTCTGAGACTTGTTTGCTATCTGTTTTCCCAAGAGCAAGGTTTGTGTCTGTCTGTGCTCTCCTATGTGCCCAGTACCCACTATACCCAGTGGCCTTGGGACGGATGACTAAGAATGAGCTGATGTTAGGGCCCCTGTGCCAGGCCAGGCAGAGGATGTTTGTCCTGAGGGCTGAGGCAGAATCCAGCCATTCCCCCACAAGCCTGGGGAGACACTAGCCTGTCCTTCTCAGCCTCAGCTCAAGGCCGAACACAGCCTTCCTCTCCTCTCCCTTCCACCTCTCCAGGAGTCACAAGTCAGAAGGGTGGTCCTGGGACCATCTGTCCCCAGCACTGTGGCAGGGCAGACTCTCAGCCTCCTGGGACTGGAGTGCAATGGCTCATGAGACCCTGTGTGACTGGCCCCGTCCTGCCTCTGGGACCCCACCTCAAACTCCAGTCACACTAGTGACCTCCTTGTTCCTCAGGCACATCAAGCCTGTTCCCCAGGTGGCCCTGCATGGAATTCCAGTTCTTCTCCCAGGTCCCTTCTCACCATTCAGGTCCTGGCTTACACGTCAACTTTTCGGAAAGGCCTGCTCTGACCACACAATCTCAAATACCTACACAGTCCCTCTATCACCTTATCACCTTATTTTAATGATCTGCAAAGCACTTATCATCCTCAGGTATGACTTTTCTTGCTTGTCTGTGTATGCTTTTATTTATTTGTTTTCCCTTCCTAAAATGTGAACTCCTGAGAGCAGGGATGGTGTCTGCTTTGTTCACTGCTATATCCCTGGCTCCTTCATACAGTGTGTGCTAAATAAATGTCTGATGAATGAACGAAGGCTAGCTTCAGCCAGTGGGATTCGCTGGGCCAGTATTTACGGAGTCCCTTTAATGTCCCAGGTATGGCTGTGCTCCATGGTGAGGCTGCACTGACAGACCAGGCAGGCTTGATCCTTGCTTATAGAATTTACTGCCTTATAGCAAAGGAGACTGACATTAAACAGATCACTAAGAAATTAAGAAAAATGTCCTACAGAGCAGGCCTACAGGGTGCAGTGAATGTATATGTGTATAAAGGGGAGGTCAGGGCGGGCTTCCCTGAGGAAGTGACACTTAGGCTGAGACCCGAAGGATGAGCAGGAGTTGGCCGGCAGAGGGGAAATAGGGATGGATTTTCAGAGCAGGCAGAAGCCTGCACAAAAGCCAAGAGGAGGGATTCAGACAGTTGTGTGGCCTAAATGTTCCTGGGTAAGGAGCCTGACGGTAGTGATAGCCTGTGAGCACTGCGCCGGGCAAAGACAGACACCCCCTCTCTGCCAGGCCCTCCTGTGATTAGCAGGACCAGTGTGGGGAGCCAGCATCCCCGAATGCTAGCCACTGCTCAGAGTGGGAGGCCAGGCTGCGTGGCAGGCAGGCTCCAGCGTTCCCACCCTACCTGTGATGAGGCCTTTGCCATTCTCGTTGACTGCTATGCCGGCTGCACGGCCCTTGAAAATGTGGTTCCCGCTAAAGTGGAAGGAGAATAAAACAAAGAGGTGAGACCAGACCAATGTCATGTATCATAGACCACGCCCACCCAAGGTAACTGCCTTCCTTTGTGTGCTTCCCCAGATGTCTCAAGTCCACAGGGGCCTAATGCGCTTCCTGGAGTCCTAGAAGCCAGGCATTCAGCAACCTTCAGTTATCACTGACCAAAAACTAAACCCACAGCTACGCCATAGAGGCACAAAGATATCCAGGTCCTGGGGCCGCTGTTGACCGTCGTCCACATAGGAACGCCATTTCAAATGGATGTCATCGTGGTGCACAGGTCCCAGGTGAAGCCTTGGCGGTGTCAGAATTCCAAGGATGCTGAGTGAAGCTTGTCTGGGAGTGACTATGTCTAATACCTGAATCACACTCTCTGCCTGTATCAAGACTACAACCTTCTGTTTTGGTCCAACGGCTACTCTTTACCTTATTTTCTGTGAACTTAATCACCCATCCACCAAATGACCACATAAAATAATGACATGCTTTAAAAGAAGAAAACCAGATTTGAAAAAAGAGGGGTTTCAAGAACATCAGACAACATGTATGTGAAGCCTCCCGGGTCGGGTGAGCCACAAATGGAAGACGTAGGAAAGCCTGCTCCTGCGCAGAGGAACACACATGGCCCTCACTGCCATGTAACAGCCTCACAAATGAGTTCCTTCAAAGCAGACACTTGAGCATGTGAAATCACATGCATTTCTTTCTGGTCTTTGCATCTTGATTTCCTGCTGGTAAAAACAAAGCCAGGCATGACCAGACCTTAGCAGAATTAGGAGGACACGTTTGCTAATTTTACTAACAGGAATGCTGTGATCTCCTTTCCTACTGGAAGGGCACCTGTCCCCTCTCTTAGGAGGCGGCCCGCCTACTTCCTACCAGGTTGCTGAGGGATGTAGGTCCCAATATTCCTCTGGCCTTCAGAGCCTGGCAGCCCATAAAACATCGCTGAATAGGAGTTGGCTGATAAGTTTTCCCATCTTCCAGGGTGAGGTCCAAATGGTCTACATCCTTAGGAATAACCAGCAAATTATGTTAGTGCTGGGAAAGCCAGATGTCAGGTACACCTGCACTATACATTCTGGAGCTGACCAGTAAAATCACCTGTTAAAAACATCCCTATCGGGCCGGCCGAGTGGCGCGTTGGTTAAGAGCTGGCTTGGGACCCCAGAGGGCCCCGGTTCGGATCCCACATATGAGGGCCAGTGACACTGCCCTCCACAGCTAAGATGCTGAACAACAGCTCAACCTGGAGCTGGGCTGCCGTGAGTCCCCGAGGACAGCGTAGGCTGCAGCCCCAGCTGCAGTGGGCTGCCATGGGCTACCGTGTGTAGCCAGCAGTCAGCGTGAGCGGCCAGCAGCCTCCATGAGCGGCCGTCCAGAAGCCGGCGACTGATCTGCCTCACCCGGGAAGAGCGCAGTGATGGTGCCAACTTGGGCCAGTGAAGCAACATCCTTCACAACTAGACTGAAGAACAAAAGGACAGCAACTTGTCTGTTCCCCTTCCTCTAATTCCCAGCGCTGTTCCCATCCCCCAATTCCCCAATAAAAATCTTTAAAAAAAACACCCCAAAAAATCCCTATTTTTTTCCCTCAGACATATCCAAAGAGTCTGCTTTGATGTGGTTATAATTCGGTTGGCTAATGGTTACTGTGGGTTTCTAGAATACACAGTCAGAAGCAGTCCCTGGCCTAGGGCATGCCTCATCCATGTTTCTGAGAGCTGTGCCATGGTACCAAATGCATGACTGGTATATTTTTAATACAAATCTAACCTCCAGAAAGGACCCATGGTCACTTGGAGAAACATGTATGTGTGTGCACATAAGGCAGGCAGAATAAAGATAAAAAAGAAGTATCAGAAAACATTTAGGACAAGGGGACAGATCTTTGTTCCAAGAACCAAGGGTGAGATATTGACTGCAGATGAGCCAGCTTGAGTCCTGTGCTTCCTTGTAGCCAAGGCAAAAAGAGAAATGCAATAGGTAATATAACTCACTGGCAAAAAAAAAAAAGCTGTGGTTTGCCTTAACCAGACCACATTAGCAATCTCAAAATTTATTCTGTACCTTCACTGGATCCCTACCTTCCATATCAAAGAAACATAAAGGAAAAAGCACAACTTAGCCTCTCAAACAAGACACTGATCTGATTATAATATTCCTTGTTCAAAACCCTTCAGCAATGCCCCAGCACCCATAAGGTAAAGTCCAATCTTCCTAACTTTGTGTATGGATGCTATAACAAATTACCACAAACTGCATGGCTTAAAACAACACAAATTTATTATCCTGTAGTTTAGGAGGTCGAAAGTCCAAAATGGGTCTTATAGGGCTAAATCAAGGTGGCAGCAGAGCTGCATTCCTACTGGATGCTCTGGGGGGGAAATCCATTTTTGTCTTTTCCAGCTTCTAGAGGACGCCCATGTTTCTTGGCCTGTGGCCTCATAACTCTGACCTCTGCTTGTGTTGTCACATTTCCCGTTGCTCCCCTCTTCTAAGGATCCTTGTGATTACACTGAGCCCGCTTGGATCATCCAGGATCATCTCTCCATCCCAATTTAAGGATTCAATCTTTAATTTAATCACATCCACAAAGTCTCTTTTGCCCATGTAAGGTAACATATCCATAGGTTCCAAGGATCAAGTCATGGGTATATTTGGAAGGTCATTATTCTACCTGCCACCCTTGGCATTTGAGGTCCTGTGTGCTCTAGCATCAGCCTGCCTTTGTAGGCTGATCGTCTACTCAATCCCCCAGAGCATCTTGAGCCCAGACATTTTTTTTTATCATTTCCCCAAGACATATCCGGAATTTCACTGCCCCTAGGCCCAGAATGCCTTTTCCCCTGGCCATAAAATCCTATTTATCCTTCAAACACAACTCAAATGGGAGTGCTCCATGTGCCTGTCCCTGACTTGCTCAGCTGTTAGCGTGGCTGGACTCCTTTGGCACCTGCATGAAGACCTATTAAAGCACTTGTTTTGGTGAGTCTTCCCTCATGGTTCTTTGTGTGTATTTCTATCTCCAGCATGAGATGGTAAATTCCACACAGCAGACTGTTCTTACATGCTTTTTATATCACTTCCCCCTCACCTAGAATAAACACTTAAGTAGGTGTTAAATAAATAACATGCATACAAATAAACATGCCCTTGGTTTAAGGCAATAATGCAAGAGATGGAGAAAGAGTTCTATGACCACTAACCTTTTTAGTAAGCTATTAACAGCAAAAAAAAAAAACAAATAAAAAAACTAACCATAATAGAACTGGCTCAAAAATTATGTAATATCAAAACAGTGAAATGTTCTGAAACGTTCCAAAGTGATAAATATAAGGGCCATGCAACACCATGGAAAAGTGCATATGGAATAATGCAGGAGAAAATAGCCGAGAATATATGTGCTGCACGGTAATGCATTATTTTCCTAAAGCACAGACAGCTGTGTGAGCCTTCTGCTCAAAACCTTCAACAACTCCCCATTATCTAGACAGGACAAACGCCACACTCCTCAGCTTAGTCTACATAAAGCCTTCATCGTCCAGCCCAAGGCTTTCTTTCCATCATCCACTTCCCCTATGCTGCGTAGCAGAGATGGAATCCCACAGGGATAGAAAAGGTCACGTTGTAGTGACCACAGCACCCAAGATTTGATGGGACAGTCCCAATCTAAAATATTTTATACCAATGTCACACCTGTGTCAGACCTTTCCTCAAGCCACAGTGGACTGTTTGCTAACCCCTGGATCTCCTGTGTTCCGCTGCCTTTGCTCAGGTTGTTCCCTTACTAGGAATGTCTACCCCTACTTCCATGACAGTCCTAGTTCTACCCATATTTCAAAGTCCAACTCCAGTGCCATCTCCGAAATGAGGCCTTCCCACACTCCCCTAGAATGGTTCCCTCCCTCTCTGGGAACCACAGTCTGCCCTATACGATAGCTGGGAGGGCAGATCCCTGGTTCCAGGAGGGCCACTGCCATTTCCACCTACAGCTTACACCACTGATCGATCTCAGCATGCTTTCATGCTGAGGCCAGATGTAGCCTCTGGATCTTACCACAGCATCCCAGGTAGCCACTATCAGCTGACGGGAGTTGAAATCTCTATGCTATCTCTATGCCATCTCTATCTTAGAAATATTTCTGGGCACATATGTCCTCCAGACTAGAGTAAGCTCCTAGGGAGCAGAGTCTGCCTCTTGTTTACCTTTGTTATTATTATTAGAAGTGCTCAGTAATGTTTGTTGGGTAGAATGGCTACATAGCTATCCAGAAGGGCACACAGAAACACAAAAGCGATTGTGCTATTGTGGTGCGATTATGGGTAAAGTTTCTTCTTTGCTTGCGGCTGTACAGTTGTTTTAGTAAACAAAGATAGTTTCAAATGGAGGAAAGACAGGGAGTAGGGAAGCAGAGATGAGGGAGCAAAGAAGGGACCATGGGTGAGCAGGATGGTCTGGGTGCAGCAGTGCATACCTCACGATTGGATTTCCGTGGTACAGGATATAAATGCCAGCTTCCTTATTTGAAAAGATTTGATTGCTCCGGATGATGCCTTTCCCATTGCCAAGGACGACAATGCCAGAGCGAAGGCCATGGTGGATCTGGTTACACTGTAAGTGAACATGAGACACCACAGAAGACAGATCAGACATGCCGGCGAGAAGCAGAGGGCTCAGCCACTGCCCCACAGCAGGGCCAGGATGAATACAGTGGAGAAGACAATGTCAGTCTAAGATCTCTGGCACACGACGAAATGCATGGACGCTACTGCGGCCCTGCCCTTTCTGCACAGGTGCACAAATGGGAGCCTATCAGGCAGACTCAGAAGACAGGAGTCTTCACTACCCTGCTTCTTGGCATGAATGCAGTGATGCTGGCCCTTACTGATGAGGGCTCTTGCTCTCCACTGGGAGCCATGCTACTGGAAATTTCTGAGTCTCCAAAGAGCCCCCCAAACACACAATCACCTAGCCAGGCCACACCGCCCAGGGTTTGGGGAGCCCACTTCTCAGGGAAGGGCAGCATTTCAGTACATGAGATGTAGGCCAAGTGCCGTCCCAAGGGGGCCACATCCAGGGAAGGGTGGTAGCCATTTGGCCTTTAGTCCTCACTTATTCAGGGAGGGTTGTGGAAAGACATGGCTCTGGGGAGCTCAGATGTCCCCTAGGGCATGAGGTGATAGGTGTGTGAGCTACAAGGAACCTAAGAGATATTCATTCTAACGCCTCTTTGTACTAATGGGGAAACAGGCCCAAGGCTGTGTAACGTTTGTGCCAGAGCCAGATCTGAGCCTAGTTTTTCTGTTTCCTAGTCAGTTAGTTGCTTTTGCACAGTGACAAAAATTTTAGATTATAATAAATTACAATAAAATTGTTTCACTAATTATTAATTTACAGCCCAAACACAATCCCAACTTAAATCAGGAAGTTAGCCGTTTCTCCTCCAAAAGAATTTCACCCAAAGTTCTAGTTTTCTGTAAAGCGTTCCATGCTGCAAGCTCTTCTATTCTTACTCAATTTCCAGATTTTCTCCTGACAGGTGAGGCTGACTTACCAGGGCAAGCACAGCCTCACAGGAGCCCCTCACAGTGTTGAAAAGCGTGGCGAGAGAGGCATCTGGAATGGCATTTCCATCCACACCCTTTCACAAAGCCAAGACTGATATGCAGCGGCCCCTCCCACCTCCACCGGCTACACCTGCCCACCCCTGAAAAGGCAAACTTATCCTTCTGGCAACAGTGGCAACAATTTCATCAAACACCAGAAGCTGGCAGAAACATAGTGAGAGGAAGGGGTTAGAAGACACTGGCTGGGCGTGTCATTTTAAACATAGTTAGGACTTTCCTTTCTCTGTGTTTTTAAGGGCAGTCTAGATGGAATGGGTTACGAACATCAACTCTGAGTCAGACTGCCCAGATTCAAATACCAGTTGTGTGATTTGGGGCAAGATCCTCAGCCCCTTTGTGTCTCAATGTCTCACCTTATTGTAAAATGGGGGTAACAATTCTACCCCACAGGGTTGTATAAGGATTAAACCGTAATTAAGTACACACACACACACACACACACACACACACACACACACACAGTGCTTAGAACTGTATCTGGCATATAATATGCACTACACATAAGGCTGGATATTATTTTTCCAGGCCCATAAAAAGTCCATCATGTTTTCCAATTTCTGGGAAATCTGTCTCTCGAGGAAGGCCAGGGAGGAAAGGGGGCTGGTCTGTCATGTCACTGGTCTCATACGCTAGGATTTTAAGTGGCTTTCACACTGGTGTAAAATCAAATTCACTATGACCTCACAATATCCATGAAAACAAAGAACCTTCATAACTAAATATCCTTTTTATAGTAAAGAATGAACTAACTTGGTGTTTTATTCTTGATCCACATGTCTCTTAGGGCAGACATCATTATTTTTATTCTTACCAAAGTCAAGGCCAGCCAGAGCGCACCGGGGCTGAGGGACGGTCCTGTGAAACTCCCCTATCTCTCCAGCCCACTTTCTTACTGACAGGGAGGCTACAGGGAAAAGGGCAGGAACCCCCTGCAAATAGGAAGCAATATAAATTCCAGATGGCAACATTTATTTAACTGTCCTCAGAAAAGGTTTCTGAGCGGCAAGAAGCACTCTGAAAGGGCATGAAGACAGAGAGAAGTACCAGGATTAGCGGGTCGGACTTCTTCCGGATGTCAACGCCAGCCTCCGCGTTATGGTATATGTTGTTGCCAGCGATCAAGCCTCCGCCCTCCAAGCGAAGAAAGATGCCTGATGCTCTGCAGCGGTGAATGTCGTTCCTCAGCATGACGATCTAAGCAGAGAACAGAAAGCCATTTGTTTTCCTGTCACAAAGTTTTTTTTCTTTTTTTAAAAAAAATCACTCGGGAACACGAGTCTTTTCCTTAGCATCTGGTGCGTGCTGCTCAACTTGTAGGCGGGAGGAGCGCCTCGGTGCCAGCACAGCCACTCCGGCTGTGTGCTCACAGGGACAGAGCCATCTCTGTGCCTCTGCTGGCTTTGCCCTCTTCACCAGCCTCACTCTGGTTTTTTAATAAAACCTGGATCGAAGCTTGGCCCTGTGCTCCATGTTCACAACTTCTGAGCAGAATAACTGGATGATGGGATGGAAAGGACCCTTAAAAAGAGGACTCAGCGGTCTTCACATTCCACACGCACTGGGCTTCCATGACCATATCCCTGGGGCCCAAGGGCACAGCTACTTTGAATGGAACCAAGTTCCAGGTCGACGACTTCCACATGCGCCTTCGCAAAAACTCACTTGCCTGAGAAAGCACCTGAGAGTAACGTTCTCTTCTTCCATCTTCCCTTTCACTTTATAAGACAAAGGCCTATTCTTGCCCATTCTGAATTTTTCTTGGTATATTATCCTGGGATGAAAAACCACTGGAATTCCCAACTAAGGGACAATCAGAGGTGCTGGTATAAGGAAGCCCCCTTTAAACAAAGCACCATAACCCAGCACACAGCATACGAAGGGGCTATATTGCCACTTACACTTTCTTCTTACTTTTAATAATTATATTAAAACTCTAGAACATATTTATACTGTTTTAAACAATTGTGTAGTGACAATAAAAGTATATTATGTTAGGATAAAATTCTGTGAGGGGTAAAACAGAATGGAAGTACAATTTCAAGGAGAAGCTTTTAGCTTCTTAGGATGGAGAAAGTTGGAAAAAATTGCTCTCTCACTTATAAGAAGATACAAAAACATAACCTTTCTTGAACCCATCAGCAAGCCAAGGTTGCAAGACAAGCAACTAGCCTGAAAGTAGCGTGAGAGTACAGGAACTCTGGGAGGAGTTGCATCTATCCACTTCCGCATGGACCTCACTAGGAGCTCATGGAGAAAGCCTGGGGACAGGACAAGAGATGCGGACAGGTGCCCTTGTGGTGGGGACTTGGGGGAAAGCATGCAGTGACTGTGAGAAAAGCATTAAGCTCCTCCTCAATTTTTCTTCCCTAAATTTCCCATAGAACAAGACTGTCACTCTCTAGGAAGGGAACAGGAAAAAACCCCAAAAAAACCAAAACCTGTACCTCGGGGGAGGTGGGAGAAAAACGTCTTGGGCCCCCCTAGTGCTGGGAGTGAGGCAGGACCAATGAAAAGGATGTGTCCCTGAGGGCCTTGGCCCATGAACACAGCAGCTAACCTAAGACTAATGATAAATCAGGACGTGAGAGAAACCCTGTCACCACGTCATTAGGCTAGCCTGCGCAGAGCCACTAATGAAAACAGTCTACTGTTGGGAGGGTCAAGAGCATGGAGAGAGATCCTATGTGAGGAGCAGGGGCAAAGGGAAGACCCAGGAAGGAGAAAAGCCCACTGCCAAACCAGCACAAGGTCATGATGGAGAAACGTGAGGCCTGTGGTACACTGAGGATAATCAGAACCACAAGAAAATCTGAATGAGCTCCATTCCTGACTAGATCAACCCAAACCCTGGGCCTGTAATGGCCTCGCCAAAGAAGAGGCGTGACCATTTCCACACATCAATACGGTTTACCTCAGTCTCTGCTGTCCTATACGAGATGCCTGACTTTTAAACTAAAAAGTGCAAGATACACAAGAAGCAAGAAAAAGTGAGTCAGTGATAGTTTCTTCACAGAGCCTGAAGCAACCGGGTCCCTTCAGCCAGCCTTTACCTTCCTGGGGGTGTTCCGGAGGGCAGACGGGGTGGCTGCCCTGTGGCCACCAGATCAAAGCCTTGCTCCTGGGCACAGGGACAGCTCAGTAAGCCCTGCACTCCCGCCTACAGCTCCCTGCTTGTATGAATGCTACTTAGTGTATCGTTGTACTCATGAGACACGGACTTTGTTTAACCACAAACCCTAAATATCAGTTTTTCACGTTCCTTTTTAGACACTCACTAGCTGCACAGTTGACTCACTGGCTGCGTGATTCCTGCCAAAAGTCCCCTGAGGGCCATAGATCAAGCGGGCTATAACTAAGGCTGTATAATGGGATAAGATGGGAAGAGTAGTTTCTTCCCTGTCCAAATCAGATGATGGACATGAGGCAAGTGTGTGTTATAAGCTGTAAAAACGGTGATTTTTAAAAAATGCAAAATAGCCCTATTTTGTATTTCTGCATGTAGCCTCAGAGGCCCTCTCATCAACCAACAGTCATGTTCCTGGTGACCCAGCAAGGCCTGTAAAGTAAGCCTTAGGACAGCACCTTGCTGTTGTGTATACACCGCACCGCGTAAGTCAGGTTCCGGAAGATGTTTCCTTCCATCTTGGCTCGGCCGTAGGAGCACACAAAGACGCCTCCCTTCCCGTCCCGGAAGAGGCACTTGCGGATGAGGCACCCCTGCACGGAGCTGGCCAGTGCCATGGCCTCCTTGTCTTTCTGCAGCTCCTGCTGCAGCGAGTTCAGCACTAGGCAGCTGGGCAGCTGAATGGATGCTCCTGGCAGAGGTGGGCCCAGAAAGGACCCCCCCAGAACAGGGCGTGGGCCCTGCACTTGGTAGGACAGTCTGTACATGAGCTGGTCCTCGTCCTCATCCTCACCGCTGGGACTTAGGCCTCCATCGCTGCTGTCTGGGGTCTGGGCCACCCTTTCCCCATCGCTGCCCACCTCTGCCTCCTGTGAGCCAGCCTTGGAGCCTGGCTTCGGGGAGCTAGAGGTTGGGCTCGTAGGGCTCTGGCTGCCCTCAATGACAATGTCACAGGTCCTTGGGCTCCAGGCCTGGTCCCTGCTCTCCAGGTCCAGAGACATTAAAGAGTCAGAGTTCTCTGTGGGGAGCACACTGGGAGAGGACTTGATGAGCCCGAGTAGGTACTTGTAGGCCCAGTTCTTGTCCGCAGATGGGTGGCCCTCAACAGTCACAGAGTTGTTTTCACTACCCACAAATTCACAGTTTTCCAGGACACACAGGGGCACGTTGTGCAGGAAGACATGGGTGTTTTTGAAGGTGCAAAACTTCACTTGGCAGGTGCCTGGTCCATGGATCTGGATGTGCCCATTCTCGAAGTTGCAGTTGTCAAACTGGACATGACCTGATGTTGTCTGGGGAATAAAAAAGAGAAAGTAGAGATAACAGGAATAAGATCTGTCCTGCTAATCAGAACTCTTACTGCTCGTTAAGGACCATGGAACATGGAGGGGCCATTTGTCCTGCTGATCATGTGCCCTTCCCCAAGCGGTCATGTGTCAGCTGGTTCCAAGAGGACCCGGGAGCTGCTCTGCATCAGAGGGAAGACACCTGAAGTTGCCTGCCCTTCCCTCCCCCTAATTCCAGAGGGAGGGAGACATGCGTGGAAATGGACAATGGCAGAAAAGTTCACACTCTGCAGCAGGGCCCTGCCTAAAAATTTCAAATCTCAAGTACACTCTCCTAATACTCAAGAGATGCCTAGTGAGAGTAAAACTTAGGGGGGTGAACATGGGGAAGGGGCAAGAAGCTGAAGGATCACGGGGATGTTTGGGGGACATGGAATCAACACGTTAACACAGGAAGTGAACCAGGCGAGCATCACTGTAGGGATGATCAGAAATGATTGGGAGAACTTTGAATTTTTACAAACATAGGAATTGGCTGGGATGTGAGCCCAACTTTACCAAAACCTCTAAGGGTGAGAGAGTCCCAGCTTGAAGTCTGGCTTCTAGGAAGAATGTGTCAAATCATGTAGCGCTTCTCTAGCTTCTCTACATCTTACCCTTCTAAGCATCTTCACTTCATTTGCACCTGCTCTCGGCCCTGCAGGTGTGTGTCCTCCCAAGCCTGTTCTCTGCAGCACACCGCAGAGCATCTGCTTGGTGTCCGAACTCAGGAGAGAGCCAGGCAGCAGCCTGAGGGCTGACAGAGGACAGGGCAGGCCAGGAGGGGCTGAGCCCTGCCTGGGATGGGGCAGGCAGTGGGGAGGCCCAGCCAGAGGTGCTGGGAAAGAATCCAGTCTGTGTGGGAACTGGTGGGTGTGGGGCATAGCAAGAGACAGCAGGCCATGTCCCTAAAGTGGGGACAGGTATGCTGCATGGCTGGGTGATGCTGAGCAGTGGTTAAGAGCACAGGCCCTGGAGTCTGACTGCACAGGGAAGCTCCTAGCTCTGCTTTTTTTAAGTGTGTTACCTTAGACAAACAACTTCACCTCTCTAAGCCTCAGTTTCTTTGTCTGCAATATGGGGCTTACTAGCTGACAAAGCACCAGGCACAGAGCCAGGCATAAAGTTATACTCAGCAAAAGTTAGGAATTCATTTGGGGTCAGGGATGCAAAGAGCAGAGAGTCCTCCAAGTGGGGCAGGAAAGTGCTAAACCAGACAGCACAGCTCACCTGAGCCCCTGAGCTCTCTGGGCCTGCCTGAGAAGCCCAACCATTCCATATTTCTGAAGAAGGACTGTTTCTGGATTTTGCGCCAAATTCCATCAGATGGATATGAACCATAAAATGAGGAAATGTTTTATGATCCCCTTGAGTAATCCAGACACATCCACCCCTTGAACAGTTCTTACGTTCTCTAGCAGTGACCAACCTAGACAGCTTATCCCCTTAACCTCTCTAAGTGCTTCCGTATGGCTGGCCTAATTTTTTCCTTGCTGTAATTTAAGTCTGCTTTCTCTTACTTGGTCCTCTCTGTAGATAAACACCAGCTCTCTGAATATGCATAGCTACTGTAAGGTTCTCCTCAGAAGTCACTGAAAACTGCTGTGAAATCACCCGGGCCTTTGCAGTTTTCAGGCAAGGTCATTTTAGCCCCTAGCCCCATTTTTAGTGAAAAGACAATCATGGACTGAGCACTAACATATGCCAAGCACTAAGCCAGATGGTGGGATGGGCTACAAAGAATTCTAAGGCCAGGCCCCATCCCTTGAGGATCCGCGGCTACACTTCTGAGGGGGAAGTAGAGCCAAAATGAACAAATGCTCTAAGAATAAATGTTGTATGAAACATGAAGAGTTTGGAAACCAACTCTTCTTCTGGGTCTGCAGACCAGCACAGGGGGAGCTCATTGGTCCTTCTGAAACATTCCAGCCTAAGCAGCAGGGAATCCTGCACAATATAATTTCACAAGTGCTTAGAATCAGAAGGCCTGGATTTGAGATCTAACTTCACTAATAATCCATTTGAGAAAGTAACTTAGTATCTCTGAGCCTCAGTGACTCTCATCTGCAAACAGGGTACCACATCTGCTCTGTCTACCCCATATGTTCATTATGGGGGTCAAATGAGGCCACAGATGGAAAGTCACCTAGATTATGGATACAGACTTTGGATCCTAGTTCTGTCCCTCACTAGGTCTGAGACTTGGATATGTCACTTAATCTTGTTGAGCCTCCGTTTGCTAATCTATAAAATCAGATGATGTAACCCATTTAATAAATGGCTGTAAAACATATGCCTGGCACACAGTAAGTACATCGTAAATGATTGGTGGTATAATGATCATGACAAACCTGAGAGACAATTTAGTTATTATTGGTAGTAATATTGGTAATATAATTTTTACTGACTGGGTACATAATCCAGGTATTGCAGTCAGTTTCTAGGCAATGTGAGAGCTGTAGACTGCTCTGCCAGGAGCTAGCAACATCTCAGTACGCACTTTGCTTTGAACACAACTTCTGCTCTGTGTTCCTAGAAGGAATGTGTTGGGGCTGATACTTCCTGACCCCTCTCTAGTCACCCTTGATAAAAGCCTGACCTTCCTTGACCCTCCACAGGGTGGGGCTAATGCATTGAAGGTCATTGGTCCTGCATCACCTCCCCCTTTTATGGCCTTCTCTCTGGGCATGCCGCCATAAAGTGTTCTCTGCTTTGTCACCACGTGGCCTGCTAGCAGGACCTGGCTTTCCCACCTGGCTCCTCCACCTGTGGCTCTAGTTGATCCAGTTTGTAAGGGAAGGAGCACAAAACAATTTTGGCCTCAAGTCCAAGGCTGATTTTTTAATACAGCTTTGCCAGGAATAAAGCAGAATGTTAATCCCTACTGATCCCTGTGCCTATTTCTGAACTCAGAGGAGTGTATTATAGAAATAATGACTAAACTCTCAGTTTCAACAAAAAAAGGGATTACAAACCCACTGAAAAGATACCGAGGACCAAGGTCAGGGCTGGAGAAGCCATCCATCTCATGTGGACACCGACCTTAAACATGAAGGGTGAGAACCAGGCCGGCATGAAGACGAGGTTGCACAGGCGTGTGGTTGAGCAGTGCTGGTCAATGCTGGCTAGGAGGGCCACTTCGCCCAGCTTCCCATGGCCCACAATCTCCACAGGCACCTTCAGGATGATTTCACCTTGCTCTTCGTACACACCTGGGAACAGCACAATCCGGTCATAGAGGCTGGCCATGGCCAACGCACTGCCCAGGCTGTCAAACTCATGGCCTGGCCCGACACTCAGGGTACGACGTTCCCTCCTCCGGCGAAACAGAGAAAAGCAGATAGAGGACTCCAAGTCCAGGGCATTCTTGGTCCACGTCTTTGAGGCAAGGTAATGCTGCTTGAAAGCCTCCCTCCAAGACTCAGGCTCCACATTAGGCTGGTTGGGCCAGTTGGGGTGGCGGCACTCGATGCAGTCCAGACATAGCTGCCGCCAGCGGGTGCTGTCGAGACTGAGGATCAGCTCATACCAGGCCCTGCACACCAGGCTGCAGCGGCCCAGGTCGGGAAGGTGCAGGTAGGCTAAGATCATGCGCCACAGCTCCAGAGGGAGCCCGCCAGCCTCCATGGTCACCTGGGAGACAGACACAGAACTAAAGACCTTATTGTCGACTTTGCTTATGGTCCCCCCTAAAATATCCTCATCTTTCTCTTAACCCTAGGGTGAGCAAGTGAACAAGGCCCAGCCAATCATAGGGCTCCATCCCCTCAATCAGAATCCTTTTCTGGGATTTTTCTACCTGGAATCAGCATGGATGACTCTCTTTTCTCTTTGATCAGACAATATAAGGATATGACCTCAGAAATGGTGGCAGCCTCATTCCCCACCTTGTGAAGAAAACCTTGTGGTACCAAAGCCAAGCAGAAATGAGAAATTAAAGATAAAAAAGGGAAAGAAAAAAAGTGAGCACATGTATGTGTGTCCTGGTGGTACTGACTCCAGATCCCTGCAGATGTCCTGGAACCTTTAGCTAGTCCTTCAATTCTGTGAGGCACCTTAGTGGGCTTATAATAAATGCCCTTTTTGCTTAAGCTGGTTTGATTTGGGTTTCTGTGACTGGTAACTAAAAGAGTTTGGACTAATATAGAGGGAACCCGCCTTTGGCTGCTACGGTCCCAGGGCTCTGGATCCTCTAGATTCCCAGGGAAGGACCTCTATTTCTTCACACCAATAGGAACGAGAGCTGAGGCAGTCAGTGTCCAACTGTCTGCCTCCCCTTGTTACCAGATCATATAATTACCACTGCTTCCCCATGGGAGGCAGCCTCAGGAAAGACTGCTGTCGACAGGCTGTGGGTCTCTATCCTGGTTGTGCCACTGGTTACTGATGTAACCCCAGTGTCCTAAACATCTACTGGGCTGGCTGCCCAGCCATCTGCCCCCTATCTTTCTTCTGGAAAATATCCTCCCCTCCTCCCAGCAATTTACACTACATGGTTATAGAGGTAGGGCTCCCTGGAGCCGTGTGTGTAGAACGATGCTACTCCAGCCCCTTGGCTGCAACTGATTGGACTCTGGATGGCTCCAACTGGGCCACTGAGACCTTCTCCAGGGGAATATGAGCTGTGATTCTAGAATCAGGTTGACTTCTTTCCTGAACAGAGGGGACGGAATAGCTTCTTTTCTAAGCTATAAACTTAGGAATAGTTGCTGGTGACCATTTTCTTGGAGGCGGGGTACAAGAAACTGGTCTACAATGAGAAGAGAATAAATCATAGACACAGGAAAAAGCAGAGAAAGGGCAGAAACAAGGGCATCCTCGTTTCTCTACAGCCTCTAGGTCACGGCTTCAGGCTGTTCTCAAAACTCAGCTTTATCCTTGCCTTTTGAATTCCATCAGCTGTCTCAGCACTCATCAAAAATTCTCCTTTTTACTTAAGCTGGCTTCACTGAATTTCTGTTATTTATATCTGGTTAAAGCCCTCTCATTTATGAGTATCCGTTTCCCTACCTGAAAAACAACGGGATTGGGTTAGATGACCTAGAGTAGAGCAACTTCCAAGTCTGAAACCCTATAAAGTCTAGACAACTAGAAACGAAAACTAGAGACAGGACAGACTCTACAACTGACTTTAATCAAGTTTCTAAGCTCCCAGGGCCTTGGCTCTGTGAAAATGATAGTCATACTTGTCAGCTTCTAAGCCCCAAGAAGTCTAGAAGCACAAATGTGTGATTATGTCTGGAAGAAACTCTGAGCTTCCTCAAGACGGGTGTGGATTTAATGCTACAGATTAGTACTGGAGCCTGGGTAAGTAGGTTGTTCCCTAATGATCACCCAGTGAGATTTACTAAGTCTGCAGAAGCACTGGAGAAAAGCTGGGTTCTGGACTTGTAAACATTACAAATACAGAGAAAACACTGGGTTCCTGACAGCTGTCACTCACCCTGATGAATGCCTGATGACTTATTCACGGTGTTTCTGTGACCATGATGTCTCCTATTCCTCACCTACTTCTTCAACTATACATTCTCAAGCTTTCTAAGAGAGAAATGCTCTTCTACCCCTTCTCCAACCATCCTGTAGCTAAGTGATCACATTCGCCCTCTTGGCTTCAATGACCATTAAATTCTCGACTACAGAATCTGTAGTGCCAGCCCCACGGGTCTCTTTAAGGCTCCATATGTATACACCCAATTGTCTGTTGGGCATTTCTACTCAGATGTTCCATGGATACTAAAAACTCTGAATCGTATCCAAAACTACGTCAGGCCATGGCAGAGTAACTGGAACTGGATTCATCCTTCTGCCATCACCAACTCTAAAGCTGGACCAAGTGTATGAGACAACTGAAATATATGCTTTCAGGTACTGAGCAGCCAGCCAGCTGCACAAGACTGTGACCTTTGAAAAGGGGAACAGGGGGTACATGCAGGACTGCCCGGCTTTCATCCCAGAGCCCCTTCTTACTGTGGCGTAGGGAGATGGTGCCCAAGCAGAGTGGTGGTCTCACTGAGCAGGCAGATTTGAGTTCCATGCTGCCAAAGCGGCTAGAGTCTGTGAAGCAGGGGACCGGAATGGAGCAAGCACACAGGGTAGGGGTGGAGTGGGCGAGCAGTTTCTTGGCTGCAAGCTGGACTGCACATGCGCAGGGCAAGACTTCATCGGGCCTAGAAGTCACCTGCCATGGGGTAAACAGTGATACGAGAGCTCACACAGAGCTGGGAGACCACGGAATTCTAGCTCAGAATATGGACCGTTCATGCAGAGAGTCAGAAAGGATATGCCATAGGAATAAATTCAAACTGGAAGAATAAAAGCAAGCCTGACAGGATTAAAGGGTTCCGCCACTATCTTAACAGCGTGCTAGAATAAAACTTAACACTTAAAAACCAAAACAACAACATAAAGACTCCCTCAGCTTGTCAGCTACCAGACAGTATGGTATGGGCCTAAGAAAAATAGAGTCCAGACTCCCTCTGAGCTCAAATGAGAACTTCCTTTTATTCAAATGTCACATTCCCTGTTGTTCCATGCGGCTTTATTTATTTACATTAATCCACGGGGATCCATGCAGCAACAGGGACTTCTATCACCAAGTAACATTTAAAAAAAATTGTATTCAAGTTTTGCCCTTCCTTTTTGCCATTGGGGCCTCTGAGCTGTGGAATTAAAAGTAACAAACGTCCCACAGGGCCTGTGCTCCTGGAGTGTGATGTCTGTCAAGGACTGGAGAAAGACTAGTGGGAACTTGTCTGGGACGGGAAAGCGCGCAGTGAGGTCGGCCTCAAGCTCTTCCTGTAGCTATGTGTTCCCAAGCGGGTGAGAACTCAGGGCTTCGGTGTGGCACCTCCGAACCACCTAACATGCCTCTGAGCCACCTGGTGTCCCCAGCCTCAGGGGGCCAGGCAGAGGTCACCCTCTGGGGAGGCGAGTCTCACAAGACTTAGCTCTCAACAAGCAGCCTCTACTGCTTGCCAGCCCCGTGACTTGACGCAAATCCGTTAACCTCTCTAAGCCAATTTCCTTATGTGTAAACAGGCTAATGATGGCTGTCCTGCTACATCTCATGAGGATTTTGAGAATTTCCAAAGGAAAAAAAACATTTATTCAACAAATATTCGTTGATTGTCAACTATTGTGCTAGGCACTGTTCCAAGCACTGACAAGCAGTAAACTCTACCTTCAGAGACAGACAATAAATTTTTAAAATAATAACATAAATGCTATGAAGAGAAATAAAGCAGGTTAAGGGGTTGTGTGTGTGTGCCTGCGTGCTTGAGCATGTGAGCTATTTCAGATAGAGTCGTTAAGGAAGGTCTCTAAGAAAGTGACATTTAAATAGGCACCTGAATGACATTTTAAGCCATGGGATGGGATGAGATCACTAGAGAGTGGAGAGAACGAAGACATAGAAGTCTGCTGACCAAGTCCTCACCAAGGTAACATCTAAAGGACATGAATTGGAAAAGGACTTGCTAAGGAGAAACTGGGAGTGAACACTCTTAGGAAACTGTACAGAAGTCTTGTCACATAAGGCACCAGAAGTAAAGCTTTGCCGTTTTGCTGTCTCGACTCCCACTGCTTCTGGGAGGGTGGGTTCTATGGGCCATTTAGTTTGCTGAGCATCATGATGGGTGGGCAAGCTGGGGTCAGGAATGAAATCTGAATGGATTTGTGGGGTGAGTGAAGGGGACACGGGGAAGTACTGTGTTAGACACAGGGGGTACCCATGTGAAAAGTGGAACAGCATACACAGATGTTAACGTGGCCAGGTGACATTGTGCCTGAACACCTACTAGGAGGAAACTCACTGTGACAAATTAGACACATTCTCTGCCCTCAAGGATCTTATCATTTTATATATAATATGCTTTCTTTGCTTATTATTTGTTTCCCCTGAGTAAAATGTAAGCTTCTTAAGGGCAGAAACCTTGTATCATTGTTTTGTATTATGCCTAGAACTATGCCTGGCTCACAGCAGTATTCCAACCACTAGCTATAGAATCTCTACTGTGACACAGATCCCTGTGGAATAAAAAATAATAATAATAAATAAATGACCCAAGCATGTAGTCAACACTTGCTTTGCATAAAACCATTGGTAAGCACTGTTAGGGAGTCAGGAATCAGATAAAGACCCCACCCTCAAGTCTGGTAGGAGACAAAGATATCTCATCAAAAAAGCCCCAGAAAAACAAAGAAAACAAAGCCACAGTAAAAGGCAAAAAGTGCTGAGTGCCATAAAAAAAATAAAGAGGGAAAGCTCTTGTTTAACGAATAAAAATGTGACCTCCAGCTAGGGAAATCAGCCAATAATAATAAAAGGCAATAAAAACAGCAGCAGCTACCTATTTGAAGGGGAAGATATGAAGTACTTTTCATGCCTTATTTAATTTTATCCTCTCAACATCTCTCCAAAGCCTTATAACTCAGAATGTGGTTCCCAGGACCTAGGAGCTGATTAGAAATGCCAACTCTTGGGCACCATCCTGTTACCTACTGGATCAGAATTGGCATTTCAACAAGATGACCAGGGAACTCTTGTATGTTTGAGAAGCACTGACTTTAAGTATTATTGTTCATTTTACAGATGAAAACACTAAGCCTGAGGGAACTTACGTGACAAATGACTC